AAAATGCAGTGTCACTTGTGAACTGCGTGCCAGTGCCATCTTTTCTCCGGACAGGGTTTCGGCCATGAACTTCCCACAAAATTCAAGGAAATTTCAAGGAGATATATTTTTAAAATTCAAGGAGATTTGGTCAAGAAATTCATGCCCTTTTCGACGGCGCGCCAAAAGCAATCAGATCCAAAAAAATTTCATGTCCGATCCAGCGAAATTCAAGGAGGTTCCTCAAATCCAAGGAGTTTTTAAGGAAATTTTTCATTGAATGTAAATTCAGGATTCCTTGAATCGAAGTAGGTCGCAGGAACCCTGTTCAGACTTAAAGAGTTTGGAATGTATAATGTGACTTATCTCTTAGTCATTTACATCATTACTGTGAGCTAGTGCCATTTTTTCTAATGTATAATGTAACTTATCTCTTATCCGTTCACATTATTACTGTGAGCCTTTGAAATCTTTTAAAATGTATAATAATGAGCCATTACTGTGAGCCTGCACAGGGAAGACAGCTCTCAGTTCCTGCCAAATGGAATCTTTCATCAAAAGTGCTACAGTTCAAGCTGTTGTGCGAAACCTGTCAAGTTTGTTATGAATTAAAAGACTTTTCGCATTTCTTTTCTTCACCATATATATCCTAAGCTGACAACTTCTCACTAATATCAACTCTGTGAAACCCATAGCAAATATATTAATGGTTCAATTAGTACAACAATTCTTGGAACTTGTGAACATGTGAGCATGTATCTTGGGTAATAAAAATCACCTTTTCAAAAAGCCCCTCTCCCACAACTTGTTATGAGAAAGAATCAACAAAGAACATAATTGTTAAGGGACAGCCCCTCCAAAATTCTAATCCTGACATGCCACATACAATGTAAACAACATCAAATAACAAAATAAAACAACAGAAGATCACATTTTAATTTGTGTGCAGGCTATAATCAACATCAAATCATCAATGCAAGTCACTGATCTGTTTTGAATAGGGCTTAAAATTTAAGCCAAAATCAAAGCCTAGAGTAGGTATCAAGGTTCCTTTAATACTATCTGTACGCCCTGGGGTCATTTTGTACCCCCGGGGTTGTATTCTTCACATTTTAGGACACTTCTAGTAAAAAGATCTCTTTGAAACTTTCAGTATTTCTCAAAAAATCATTTTGACAGACTACTATGCAAAGGGTAGGGATCGGATTAACGAGTAAATTTCCTTTATGGAAAGTGGTGGCACAGAGTTCCCCATGTCGTATGGATACGATAATAAAACACGACGTACGGATAGGGTTAAGGGGTGGCACAGAGTTCCCCACGTCGTATGGATACGATAGTAAAACACAACGTTCGGATAGGGATAATACTAAAGCACATTATCTGGGATTGGTAAAACTGGGATAAAACACATGGGGTATAGAAAAATAGGCAGATGAAAATTTTCACAAGTTAAAGAGAATAATTAGTTAACAGATGAAGGAGCATACAAAAACAAAACGGCTTGCGATGCAGCTCTCATGAAAAGTGCGGTTGACTCCCAAGCACACATCTCTTGGGGAAGCACCAGTTGAATATTCAACAGAATGACATAATGCATCTTACAAGGAAAGTTAAACAGAACGACCAATGGCATCTCTTGTGGCAAGACTTGGTGCCTTTTACATTTATGATCTCTGACAAAAAAACCCAGCAGAGAACGAGATTCCCATACAGCCTAGTAGCCTGTGTATGCCTTTCCGTACGTAAACATCAAACACATAGCCTGTGTACGTCTGTCTGTACATAAACATTTAACACACAGCCTTTGTACGTCTGTCCGTACATAAACATCTAACACACAGCCTGTGTACGTCTGTCTGTACAAAAACATTGAACACAGAGCTTGTGTACGCCTGTCTGTAATACATAATCACCTTACACAAACGAACTCTTGGTTTCACCTGTGGGTAAATGACCATAAATTCCCCAGTAGCAGGGTTATGTGAAGTCAAAAGCCGATGCATCGAAAAAATATAATAATAACAGATTGCATTAAGATTGCGCTCTATCCCTTATATGTATAAGCTCAGGGCGCTTTACATCGATAACATGATCACTGAGCATAATATTAATACTTCATTCACATAAGACAAAACATTTCACATTAACAAGAAAAGGAAGAACTTTCTAAACCATACATTATTTATACACACGTAAGGACAACACTGAAAACAAAACATATCAGCACTTACCAACACTCTACAATTTACAGTTAAACAAATGAGTCTTGAGCAATCACTTAAATGTATTCCGATTTGTTATTTCTTTGAGATGCACCCAGAGCAGCAAAGAAAACTTTACTTGTAGAAATGTATTAGTTTATGAAATACTTTTTACAAATCGAAGTGTATCACCAACCTCCCACGGTATTGGAGCAGAAGAGTCATAGCTTTGTTAAAAATCCATAGCCTTCCATTAAATAACAATCTCTGTCGGTGGACATTAACTAATTCGCCTTTATGTGAGAGGTGTAACTCTCATGAAATTGAAGATGAATTTCACTTTATTTTCTAATGATCACACTCTGCCCATCAAAGGAAATTGTTAATCCCTCCCAGCCTAACTCAGCCCAGTGACAAAAATATGCAATGTTTGACCCATGATAAGAGATATGTGCACAACCTGTACTTATTCATATATGGAAACTTTACATATCCTTATCAAATGAGTGTTTTATGTGATGTGATGTAGGCCAATGGCCTTAAACACTGAATAAACTTACTTACTAGGCCTTTTATGCAAAGGAGAGCCTTCACGACAAAGAGGAGACAGACTCCCACACACTCAGCACAATAAAAGAAAGGTGTGTGCGGGACACAGCAAAACAAAGTTTTCTCCGAGGAGTGGTCAGGCGTGTCTCAAACCAGCTCCTCATGGAGACAATTAGCAGGAAGACCCTGAGGTGGACACTGGAAAGGAGAGATGAGCAGCTATGGATATGAGCAGCCTGCTATGATTCTAGCTCTGGATTCAAGTAATTCCAAACTTACTTACAAATCGAAGAGACTATTCCCAGTGACACTGGAGATAGATACAGTAACTATTCCCAGTGACAAAGGAACTCTTTTGCATAAAAGAATCAGAAGTCTTTGCCTTTGAATTTTCACTTCGAAACAAAATTGCGATGCAGATGGAAGTGGGTGCAAGAAAGAAAGAAGAAAAATAAAAGAAAGGAACAAAGAGTGGATAGACCTAGAGGATTACAATTAAGGATGCGAAAGGTGTCCAGGGCTTGATCCCCGGCTCGTGCACGCATGTTTTCGCATTTCTATGTCACTTAATGGACACTAGACATTCGTCACTGAATTTTCGTCCTTCACCTGTTAACCCCAATCACTCTGATTTCAGACTTATTGCGCATGCTATAGGCCTAACCTGAGCAAAATCTGATGAGTTAACATCTGGGCCTATTCCCAGAGTGGGAACAATAATGGGCCTGTTCTCAGTATCACAGGGAATAGTTTCTGGGCCTATTCCCACTGATACTGAGAACAACTCTGGCCTATTCCCACTGATACTGAGAACAACTCTGGCCTATTCCCACTGATACTGAGAACAACTCTGGCCTATTCCCACTGATACTGAGAACAACTCTGGCCTATTCCCACTGATACTGAGAACAACTCTGGCCTATTCCCATTGATACTGAGAACAACTCTGGCCTATTCCCACTGATACTGAGAACAACTCTGGCCTATTCCCACTGATACTGAGAACAACTCTGGCCTATTCCCACTGATACTGAGAACAACTCTGGCCTATTCCCACTGATACTGAGAACAACTCTGGCCTATTCCTACTGATACTGAGAACAACTCTGGCCTATTCCCACTGATACTGAGAACAACTCTGGCCTATTCCCACTGATACTGAGAACAACTCTGGCCTATTCCCACTGATACTGAGAACAACTCTAGCCTATTCCCAGTGATACCTATTCCTGTTCCCGTCGTTTTAAGAAATAAAAATTCTGAAATTATGCAAACGGAGTCCGAAAATGTGAAAGTATGCGATTCTGTTAATTTTAACAAAGAACGATAAAGGATAATAATCAGAAAAAAAAAGATCATTTTTGCTAAATTGTGTGGGGTGCATAAAACCACAGGGACCAGCTATTCCCGTGACACTGGGAACAATTCTGGCCTATTCTCAGTGGTTTCTGGGTCTATTCCCAGTGATACTGGGAACAATTGAACAATTCTGGCCTATTCCCAGTGGTTTATGGGCCTATTCCCAGTGACACGGGGAACAATTCTGGCCTATTCCAAGTGGGTTCTAGGCCTATTCCCAGTGACACAGGGAACAATTGAACAATTCTGGCCTATTCCCAGTGGTTTCTGGTCCTATTCCCAGTGATACTGGGAACAATTCTGGCCTATTCCCAGTGACACTGGGAACAATTGATCAATTCTGGCCTATTCCTAGTGGTTTCTGGTCCTATTCCCAGTGACTTTTTCACTGGGAATAATTCCTGGGCCTTTTCCCAGTTACACTGGGAACAGTGCTTTCCTTTACAAATAAGTGACCCTATAAACAAAAGTATAAAGAATCTGCAGCAACAGACACTAGCAACGAGTAAAAATATTTTCGACCATAACATCAGATTCCAAACTGGAGAATAAGTATACGACACACAAGTTACTTTAGGCATATATATTTATATAATGCTGCCATTTGTAAAGCAGAGAATTGAAACTAGTTTTAAAAATATAGCTAGTCTAAGACCTGGTGGGTGAATTAAAAAACCCAAACAAACTGCACAATAGTTCATACATAAAGATTCCTAAGTTTTGGCAGGATGTTCTTTTCATTTTGGAATTCATAAAATTGATACACTCAGTTTCAATTCAATCTTGTTAATAGTACGACTGCGGTAAATAAATGATTGAAAAAACAAATTTTAAAAATCCCATCAAAGTGAGCGAAGGATATTCAATCAATTCCATTTCAAATCAAGAAAACCTTCACAAAAAAAGAATATGATTCAATATGATAATCTCTTTATTTTAACTTTAAATAAAAGCTGTTTCAAAACATAATATCTTATCTACTTTGACGGATCCATCACAATTTTGCATGCTTTCCCTGAAAAAAGAGTCTTGAAAGCTTCTTCAAACTGCGACATAGGGAACCTGTGAGAGATGACTGTCTTCACATTAATCTTCTTGTCTGCAACCAAAGCTTCAATTTCTTTCCAAGTGTGGAAAATGAGTCGACCATGGACTGTCTTCAGGGTCAATGCTTTGAAAACTGAAAATAAAAGCAACAAGAAAACAATATGTGAGGCATTGTGGTGAAATCCGGCACTCGTCAAAATAATGAAATCGAAGAAACAGGCATTTTTCCTCCAGTCTGGCAAATTTCATCAAATTTTTGTTTTTTTGGTTCAACACATTTTATGTCTATATAAAAACACATTCTCATGTGTATTTTATTGAAAAATGTTGATTGATGGAACAAAGTATGTAGATTTTTTAGTTTCCAAGGACTCTCAAAGTGTAGAAGTTACAAAATTTTTGCGGCCATTTTCTCGATAATTAAAACCTCTGAAACCATGCTACCCCATCTCCTTCAATCGCAAATATTTCGACTTCTATTCAAGATAGATGGGTGCTTTTTCATAGAAAGCAAGACAAATAAATAAACTTTCAGATGATACCAATAACTCCACACGCCCAAAAATTGACGAACCCTTGATTCCAGCCCGTTGTGACACATATTAATTTTGAAAACTGATCAAAACAATGTAAATAATTTACAGACTTGACAGAGCTGAGGAATGTAGGACTAACATGATCTGAACAATTAACTACTAACCAGTTGCTGCAACAATTTCCGGTTAGAGCTATTATTACACTCATGACGCGTAATTTACTGAGAAAAGTTTATGAAAACGAAGTAACTTGATAGGCCTACTATAATATGAATGTATATCATGTATATATATATATATATATATATATATATATATATAAAACATTTCTCTTGTAGGTTTATACTAATATTAACAGTTAATTTTAAAATCCACAATGTTGCACATTTTATGCTGCTGTTGTTTCTACTGCACACAAAAGCGCCAGTTGATAGAAATGAGCAGGGTAAAAATAAAACAGCAACAAAAAAATACCAATAACTTGTGATGTTACTGTTCACCCTATCCGTACGTCGTGTTTTACTATCGTATCCATACGACGTGGGGAACTCTGAGCCACCACTTTCCAAAGAGGAAATTTACTCGTTAATCTGATCCGTACGCTTTGCATAGCAATCTGCCAAATTGAATTTTTAAGAAATACTGAAAGTTTCAAAAAGATCTTCGAACTAGAAATTTTCTAAAATGTGAAAAATGCAACCCCGGGGATACAAAATGACCCCAGGGCGTACGGATAGGGTTAAACACTACTACTGGACAAGTTCGTTTGCTCTACATTAAGCGACCTAGATAAGAACACGATTCAACACACATCCAACAGCATTCTCCGCCACTCACCGATGTCCTGGAGCACGTTCTCCACATGCAAGGGCTGTTTCGGCAATCCCACCAGCCCGATGGTCCCACCTTTACGAAGCAAGGAGAAGCTGGCATTGACAACTGGAGGGAATCCCGAGCACTCACAAATGCGATCCATTCCAACTCCATTAGTGAGCTCCATCACAAACTGAACGAACCAAAAAAAAACAAAAAACATATGGAATGAGTTTTTAAAATTTTGCTCTAACTAGAGTTTTGCGGCACAAGTTTGCAGTTTTAAGTTGAAATCTTTTTTTTTTAAATAGTAGAAGGTTTTATGGCGCTCGCAACTGCATAAGGTCATATGAGCGCCAAGGGGTGGGTGTCAACAGAGAAGTCTTTACAGGGAATCAGACTTATTCTGCTCACCTCTCTAGCTTCAACAGCACAAGGTCTGCTTCGACTATCAAGGCACCCAGGAAATAGCGGGTCACAAGAGAGTGACAAACATACAAAAGAAGTAGAGGGAAAATGACAATAGTAAGGATCAGGAAAGAAAAAGCAGCAGTTTCCTGTTGTAGATCAGGCACAGTTATGAGCGTGACATGAATCAGCCCATTTACAATTCTACTGTGCTTGAACGAGAAATGTCCCCCCTTCGGGAATGGCCTAAAGACACTACAGTCAGTGGCACTGCCCCGGGGGGTTAAGTTGTAATCTAAAGGCAATTATGATTTTTTTAAAATTAAGCTCAAGGTGCAGCAGAGATTCTCAATAATTTCAGCTGCGACTTTGACTTACTTCTTCAAGCTTCTTCTCTTTCGTGTTAACAGTAATGTCTGCCCCAACTTTCTTTGCCATTTCCAATTTGTCATTCTCAATGTCTACACCAATAACTCTGAAATGAAAAGAATGTAACACATGCTCAGAACAACTGAGAAAAATAATTCCCAAAAGGCCTTTGTAATTTAAACATACTGACAACTTCATTGCATTAGAAAGAAAAACAGTAACCCAAAAACAACTCAAACTAATAATAACTGCATTTATACAGTGCATATCCATGCTCTAAAGCATGCTCTCTATGTGTTTTACAACTATTATTACCCCAACAGATCCTAAAACACAACTAAAAAAAAAAATTCTCAGCTTCCCGGTAATCTTACAGTGCAAGTAGCCAGTGAAACCCTCAAACACTAACAAACTGACAAGATCTTTCACTTTCACTGCCTATGGCCTAGTTGCCATTTCCACCAGAGTGAAGTGAGGTTAATTTGTGTAAAGTGCCTTTCCCAAAGACACAGCGTTGGGCCCCTGATGGGATTTGACCCTTGACCTTATGATTGAGAGTCCTTTTTTTTTTCATGGCGTTTTACAGCGCTCGCAACTGCATAAGGTCATATGAGCGTGCGGGACACACGTAATATTTTCAGTTGGTAGGAAATTTTGAATTTTGCCCTGGTGGCAGCCGAAGCCTACTCTTATCGATTTTAGACCACCAAGGGATCTTTAACATGTGCAACTTGCACACGGGCCCTCTGAGATTTTTCACCCTTGTCCGCGAAGGCTAGGGGTAGACTTTCCCACCAAAAGATCAGGGGTGTGGCGGAAAGACAGCAGTAAGAAGGAGCCAGGGAGTAGCAGTAGAAAGGCATCAGAAAGCCCAGAGGAGGGGGCAAAGGAGGTGAGGGGGTGGGGGCAGAAAGAGGAGACGAAAGCAGACAACAGAACATTGCTAGAGAGGAGGAAAGGAGGTGAAAGAAGTCAATGTTAGAGAAGAAAATTTTTCCGTCACTACCAAGATTCGAACCCGGGACCTTTGAATGAGAGGCGAACACCTCAACCTCTAAGCCACGAGAGCCCCCTGTCCTGAACTCTGCTACTCACATTTCATACTAATCATCTAAAAGTAGTCTTTAAAAAAGTATGCTCATAAAAAATTATCAGGCAGAATAAACTTTAATGTTTATTTGCTAGGGTTTCATAACTCACACTTACAAACAGGGTAAGGAAGGTAAGCCATTATTTCCACAAGTCAAGACATACACTGTCATGTCATTATTCCTCCTAATCTTATGTCAACATCTAGACAGAGATTAATCCAATCTCACCACTGCTTTGGAACTTGTATATTTTACCAATACGCTACCTCAGAGTTACAAAGTTCTATCTGACATTTTTGGCGTTTTGAGTTACTTAGACCATGAAATGAAAAACCAAATGTGAGACGTGCTGACAAAATAAGTTACTTCCCGGAATCCACAAATGGAGATATTGGCGAAAGATCAACACTAAGGTCAAGTTTAGTATAGTATAGTATGGGGTTTTATGGTGCTCGCAACTGCATAAGGTCATATGAGCGCGCGAAACACAAGTTAGTTTTATTCGCAGTTCACTGCACAGCTGAGTACGGGTCATTTCATCTTAAAACGTTAATATATTTAAAATTTGGTGTAAATATATATTTCAATCTAAATCAACTTCCCTTAAAAAAAAAATGTTAATTCAATTTTGTTCTACAATTTCCCATAAAGGCCAATGGCCTTCATAAAATCCAAAATTCTGTTTGGACCAACGCCGGAAAAAATGTCCTGCAATTTTTTGCATTTAAAGTTTTTCCTTCGGATCTCTCGGTTAAAATGTGTCTAATGGTAAAATGTGTCGCCTCCGACACAGAACAGCTTTTCATCTCCCTGAAGGAGGTATTTGTGTGTTAGGGCCAGGTGTCCGATGCGTAATCGAGTAAAAATGACTTCCTCTTCAGGAGAGGTCTGAAGGATTTCACGGTCCCAGTTTGGGTTTAATATTGTTGAGTTTGTTTCCCGTCTGTTTTTTCCATTGGCTCTCCCACAGGCTGGAGGTGTACTTTTTGACTAGAGTCAAGTTTGTAGATTTTCTATTGATGCCATATTCTTTATGTATAACGTGCCTTATGTTATTGCATACTTACAAACTGTAAAAACTTCACCTAAAAGCGTGTCATACCTAGATCTATTTCCATAGGTCTCGAATCCAAGAAGTTACAACTCATTTTGTCAGCACCCTTCACAAATTTTCTATGCTCTCTCAAAATCGTAAGATTATTCGGAGTTGGTACCAAGACATTTAATTAAGAATTGCATTCGCAAAAGCTTAACTTGACGTGAAACTCAACATCTTTGACATCAAATTTCTCAAAACTAGGTACTGAGCAGATAAAACTCTGTAATTCTGGGGTAGCGAATAGTGTGAGTGCGGGCTTCATCGTCATCATCATTGCCTTTCTCACCCTGGATCAGGATACAGGCCATGAACAAGCACTTTCCACCTTTCCCTATCCTAGGCTAGTCGCTCGATGTCACTCCATGTCTTCCCACTTTTCTGTACATCAATTTCCGTGACTCTTCTCCAGGTTCCACCTTGTCTTCCCCATGATCTTTTACCCAGTGGGTTCCAATCTAACACTTTCCTTGTTATGCAGCAGGAGTGCAGGCTTACAACTTACAAAAAAGAGAGACGAAGGAGAAGAAAAATGTTTACAGCTTACCTCTTGGCACCTAAGGCTTTGGCAACAGCTTGAGCCATTAACCCTACAGGACCACAGCCAGTTACAAGAACATCCTGACCTTTGACATTTAACCTCTCAATTGCATTGTGTGCAACTCCCAGAGGTTCAAGCATAGCAATTTCCTCAGCATCTGATCAGACAACAGAAAAAAAAAAATTATAAATATTATGAAAGCATAATTATTTCTCTTTAAAGATAGCAAAAATGAGATAGTTCATAAATAACTAACAGAACGACTGCCTCACGTCCATTGATGCAACTAGCTGTCAATGTCTAAAGCAAAAATTTGCCAGCACAAACCACTGACACATATTGGTCACAACGTGTGGTGAAATCAGGCACTCGTCAATTTTGGAACATGTGGAGATTTTTTTTAGGGGGGGGGGGGGGGGGGGGGTTCGTACCCTGCCCAATTCTATCATCTGGCGCTTTTGAGTTTAGTAAAAACAACCAGCTGTGCAGCATTTTTGGTTTTGAAATTAGCTGTTAGTCTTAGATTAAACACACAGGAAATTGTTTTACATATAAATAAATACATGAGTAAACAAGTAAAACAAAAAAGGTTTCTTCACTCTTATAAGGTTATTTTAGTAAGTTACTCATGTAAGTGTTGCCATAGCCCCAACTGGAGATGGCTACCACAACTGGTTAGGACATGTGGACTTATTAGTATCAACTTAAAGCTTGTTCAGTTGTCTTGCTTGCGGTGACACCCCCCCCCCCCTTCCCATCTATCTTGAATAGAAGTTGAGATATTTGAAATTGAAGGAGGTGGGGACACCTAGTTTCAGAGTTTGAATTAGCAAGAAATTGGCCGTCAAAGTTTGGTTATTTCAATAGCTTCATAGTCTGTGGAAACTGAAAATTTACATTTTTTTGCCTTTTATCAAATTTTTCAGTAAAATCCACACAGAAATGTGTTTTTACTTGAAAAAAAAATGGTATTGAGCAGAAAAACAAAAATTCAATAAAAACTGCTAAACCGGTAGAAGAATTGATACGATAAATTCAAAATAAAATGATAACTTAAACGGAATCAAAATTCCAGTTCAATTAGATTTTAGATAAAACAATCTGTTAAAGCAACTTTCTGGGTGAATCTGTGTCACTGGAGGACATCTGTAAGTAGAAATCTTGATCAATGATTTCAGTGGCTCAGTCTAACCATCTTTGAAAAACTTGGTACGTTGAAGAAAGCTTTTTAGATTTTAGATAAAACAATCTGTTAGAGCAACTTTCTGGGTGAATCTGTGTAACTGGAGGACATCTGTAAGTAACAATAAAAATCTTGATCAACGATTTCAGAGGCTCGGTCTAACCATCTTTGAACAACTTGGTACGTTGATGCAAGCTGACGTACATCTGACCCCTAGAGACCTTCTAGTTCTATGGGCACAGCGGGTGAGCCGGAAGCTGTACTTTCAGCACAAGAAGTTTTTCTGCTTGGCAAAAGTTGTGTTTGTTTTATGATTTTAGTAAGGTTTTACAGGGCTCGCAACTGTATACGGTCATATGAGCGCCAAGGGGTGGATGTCAACAGAGAAATCCAAATGGGGAATCAGGCTTACTCTGCTAACCTCTCTAGGCTCAACAGCACAAAGTCTGCTTCGATTATCAAGGCACCCCGGAAATAGCAGTTCACAAGACAGTAACAAACATACAAAAAGAAGTCGAGGAAAAATGACAATAGTAAGGATGAGGAAAGAAATGGCAAAAGAAATGAGATATTAAAGAGAAACTACTAATATACCAGGGTGTTTTCTGCTTTTAGTAATTGAAAGTACCAGCTGGGTACCCATCCAATGAACGGACACAAAAAAAGATCGTCAAATCATTGTGGGACCAGTGCGCACTGCATGTGAACAAAGGCCTCACTTGTTTACAATGGCGTCTTAGAAGACAGACTGTCCCAAGATTAGATCGTAACGAAACTAATGAAAAACTGAAAATTAAATTGCAGTGACTTCAGACTCCTTGATATAACTGTACCCTTTAAATCACCCTGAAGCACTGTTATTTTTTTTCATATTCGAAAGTTTAGTGGTTCGGAAGTTTTAGGCGACCAAAGTGACGAACTTTTACAATATAATATATAGATAAAGATTTGAAGCCTAAACATTCAAACCTTTCTTTCTTTGTCCTGTTAAGAGTATCCCAATAAACATCATCCTCAATCACCTCTAACAAGAATTTGCACACTCAACAGTAAGAGGGGAACAGCAGGACAGAACATAACATTCACACAGGAGGAAAAAACTGCAATTTTGCAATAGATCACAATGAATGCAGGTAATGATCATGTATCCCAGTCACGAGTATATTCATATAAATAGGAAATAAATCATGAACAAATAACTAAAAAGTTATTAACACTTACCGAGGTCTCTTTGAATCTGGTACAAATATCTTTCTGGCACAACCGAATACTCAGAACATCCTCCATGCTCAGTCTTCTTCCCATGCCCGTATTGTCCCATGTTCATACAGATAGCACCGTCCTCGTGCCTGCACTGATAGCAGTCTCCACAGAAAAAGTGGTTTTCCACACCCACCTTAGTACCCAATGCCATGCTGGTGTTGGGCCCACGCTTGACCACCGTACCTGCACACTCATGTCCTGGGATGAAGGGAATTGTGGCGATGACCCTAAAAAAACCCAATAATAATTCATTTTACCAGCAAAATTTTTTTCTAAAAACAAGCAACTTGGGGCTCATATGACCTTATGCAGTTGTGAGTGCCGTAAAACCTTACTAAAACCAAAAAAAACAAGCAAGTGCATTTTGAAGAAAACAAAATTATTGCCCTAAACATAAACAAAGAAGGATGGTGGTAAGGGATGATGGGTGAACACTTTAAATTTGATTAAACAGAGGACGCAAAGCAAAGTTGTATGACAGTATGACAAGTGAAACCTCAGCTACAGTAAAAAAAAAAAAGGTTTTATAAATTGCTTCTCTTTTCTTCAAAAAGCTCTTTATAAAACTCTTCTTTTGAATATAACAAAGGATTTTTGTATCCCCTATCTCAGCATGATGGAAAAGGGGTGGGAAAATAAAACTAAGTTTTCCGTCTCCGTCCACTTGACAACGTCTGTAGCAAATTCACTTGAAGAAGCTGTCAAAGGGTGAATCAAATTCACACACACAAACAGCTCACACATCAGTCACAGTGTGCTTTGTCCAAAGACTCAGGCTTAGGACCTCCACCTGTTTACTTTGGGACAGGTGAAGAGATCACTGACCGTACTCTACTTTCTGACCAGTTGTGAAAACTTAATTTGATTATACATCACATGTAATTCATTTACATCCTTAGTTTAAGTTTTTAATCTTTTCACTGGAACATCATGACACTGATGACAGAGTGCTTCTCACATACTTTGCCACATGGTCCCAGTTGTACAAGGCAATATCTGAGCCGCAGATCGCCACACAGTCAACACGGATGAGTACTTCTCCGTCCCCTGGCTGAGGGACGTCCATCTCTGTGTATGAATACGAGGGTCCTGCTTCATTCTTCACCAAAGCTTTCATCTTTTCAGGAATAACGTCTTGTCCAGCCATGGTCACCCTGGGTTACTTTCCCCTAAAAACAAAATCAAAGGGACAATGAGAAAGGTACAATTACATGACCCGAAAATGACGACGGAAGACTTGGCTATAATTACTATGGTGACACAGCTACTAAAATAGACTAAATACACATCGGTAAATTTCTGAACAAAGTGTGAACTTACATTGACAGGTGGAACAACAGAGAGAAAGAAAGGGACAAAAGAAAAGGAGATAGGTAGTATATCACCAATTGGTTTCTGGAAGGAATGTATGTACCACAATGAAGACACAGAGAAGACAAGGGTGCATACAGCATACACAAGAGACACATCTGCAGAGAGTCAGCATCTTGTTGAAAAAAATGCCCACATATGTGCTGATAAGAATGTAGAAAAAAATGTAAACATATGTGCTGATAAGAATGTAGAAAAAGATGCCCACACATGTGCGGATAAGAATGTAGAAAAAAATGTTAACATATGTGCTGATAAGAAAGTAGAAAAAGATTCCTACATATACATGGTGATGATTAGAAGGTAGAAGAAATTGTACACCCTGAACAAGCCACAAGCATTTTTTTTCTTTTCTTTTCTCCCTCCTATTGCACCTCTCGGGCGTCGAGGGGAGAGCTTTCTATCTCTAGCAAGCTAGACGGCCTGGCTGGGTGGGATGTTGCACGTATTAAGGGCGTCATTCACACAGCACACACTTGATCCAGGTCTTCCTCTTGCCTTGTGCCCTGATATTTTTTTGTAGTAACACTTCACTGGCAAGCTGTTGAGGTGCCATACGTGTCAGATGTCCAAACCATCGAATTGTTTGCCTCTGAATCTAAAGTAAGAAAGGTGTTGTTCCCATCATTTCTCTGACCATTAGTGTTTCTGATCATGTCCTATCTGGTTTTGTTGAAGGCTCTCCTTATGCATCTCATCTTGCACGCGGTTGGTTATCTTGCATTCCAGACTTTTGGCCAAGGTCCATGTCAGGCATTGGTAGGTCAAGATGGCGATGAGATAGAGTTAAGGAGCTTTGGCTTTGGTCTCAATGTGGACGTTAGGATGTTTGAGTGGGGGAGGGGGGGGGGGGCAAGCTTGGTGGCTGACGCTGTGAGTTGTTAGCCGTTTGTACTCTTGTCTCAATTTCTCTTTTGAGATGTCCGTCTTCTGAAAAGATACAGTCAAGATACCTGAGCTCGCTGACTTGTTTCAGCAGAGTTTCGTCAATGCTAATGTTGAAGTTGCCTGATGTTTTGCTGGCATTCATCATCTCTCAGTTTTGCTTTTGCTGAGCTTCATGTTGAGCTTTTCACACTGGGGTAACAAGACTGTCTGTGTGCTCTTGAAGTTGCTCTTCCTTGTCATATGCCAGGCTTTGGTTGTTTGCAAACAGCATCTCATTCAATTCTTTTGATTTGGCGGTTGCTTCTTTCGTAATTAACGGTTATTTTGTCTATATTGATAAAAAATTAGCAGTGATAACACACACACTTGTCTCACTCCGGATGACACATTGCATCAGTCAGTGAGTCCCTTTTCGGTACCACAAGCCAAAGGGGGAAAATTGAGCAAGGTGAAGATCTCCACAATAATATGATTCATCTGTTAACACTATCTGTTAAGGACTGTTACACTTGACCATGAGAAAGAAACGTAGTGGATAGAGGTACGATTTAAGAGTTGGGATCAGGGCCAGGGAAAAGTGGCTGAGTGAGAGGTATGAGAAGATCGCTACTTTTGGCAGCAAAACCAACTTTAATACAAAGTTTTGTTTTATTTTATTTCATTTCATTTTTTTGTTTTAGTGGTAGGGGGGGGGGGGGCAGGAAGATGCGTGTGGCATGTGCATGTGGCATATATATGTAACATCATTCATTATACTGCATATCAATACATATAAGCATCACAGTGGAGGCTGTCTAAGATGACCACCCACAGATAACTGTCCCCGCGGGTTTATGCAAGAAAAATTATGAAATTATGCAAACTGAGCCCAAAAATGTGAAATTAAGCGATTCAGCAAATTTTAACAAAGAATGATAAAGGAAAATAATCAGAAATTATGAAAAAAATGATCAAATTTTGCTAAATTATGCGGGGTGCATAAAACCACAGGAACAGAGCTAAGGAGAAAACTGGTTGTCTTGAACAGGTGTACTCTGGGAGGAGTATAATAAATCGTCGGCCTTGTGAAAAAAACGACTAACCCACAAAATATCAAAAAATATTTTTGGGGCCCTCAATAGTAAATTGTCCATTTTGTATGCTCACTCAAAGATGGATCTGAATTTTATTTCGAAATGTCTTTAAAACATTAGAGGTTAAACCGTATAACCCGCCACCCATCTGATTTTAGCCCGACTTTTCCGACTTTTCCGACTATCCCACCTGCAAGAGAGGGAAAGAGGGTTGGCTATTTTTATTGCGCTAACAAAGAAGGGCCACGTGCTACGTTACCGACTAACCCCGGCTTCAACTCGTTCCTGGACTTCATTTGACATCAGATTCGCACCTGTGATAGTCCAGCATTCGCTGACGGAATTGAGGGAGCTCTCCAAAGAGGCGTTTGTGAGTTATTTCTTGTTGGTTTCACAGGGGAGTTATATAGATCTACATGTAGTTGTTTCCTTTTTTTCTTCGGTTTTATGCTGGTAATGTTATTAATGACTAAAACTCCCCACTGTTGCCACACAATTGCTTCTCTCTTCACAGTGCCGGTAGTTCAAATGCATCCTAATAAATTATTGTTTCATACGATGTTTTTTTCTGTCCATGTGTTCTTCCCTGACTTTGTCCTGGGAAGTCAACGAATTGTGAAGGCATTTATTTGGATTACTGTCTTTTCTCCTAATCATTTTTTTTCTTCTCAATGGAATGAAAGAAGTCGATTAATTCATTTTTTACTAACTGACTCAGAAGAAAAAAATTGTGGGACCTCTTCAGCACACCCATCCGCCCCGAACGATCTTTATATGTTATAAGTGCTTCTTCTTTTTTTTTTCCATTTTCTCTGTTTATTACAGTCATTACCTTCTGAAACGTCTTTCGACTTTCTTTGATAGCTCATTTCGTTTGTGCTTTGTATAAATTATTTTCTTAGTTTTGTAGAATGCTGTATCTTTTTATCAAACCCAAACTTACATAACGCTATAACATTCCACCAGACCTCTGACCCTCAGCACAGTGGAAAGTGATCAATGTGATCAGGCTAATGTCACACCAGCTGATGATACAACCGTTATGTCACCATTGATCTCAGCAAAAAGGACACGGAATGAAAACCAATGGAAGGGTAACAAAAGGAAAAGGTTGAGACAACTGGGAATCCCTAGTCACTCTCTTGGAAGGAAAAGAGCCTACGCTAGTGCCATGATAAACAGGATAGACAAAAGGAGATTTTACATGGCAATTGAAAACCCAAGAAGAAATTACATCCTTCAATATCACTTAAAATTAAGAAGAGTCAACGGTCAAAGAATTCCGGTTTGAAAACAAATGTTTATGAACATTACAGGCCTGACCAACTGGTTTATAATACAAAATGTTTTCTCAGATTTAAAAAAAACCCTCAAGAAAACACCATTCCCACAATGAGAGAGCCAAGGATGACAATTGTTCCATATGGAGGAATTTTTTGACAAACTTGCAAAGGAGCCCTCCTATTACTGTCTGTAGTCAACGACAAAATCATATCAGCAGTTGGCATTTCAGAATATGTCAGCTCTGCATCGATAATACATGGAGAAAATGTGCACAGGCAGAAAAAAACCCATTGAGCTATCAAGTATTCTGCCATGAGTTCAAAGAAAACAATTTGGGTTAATTTTCAACCAAGAAAGACCAGTGCAACGTTTGCCCCAGCTTCGAATCTGGAAACCTCACAGAAACAGAAAACACAGCTCATCAAAAGGGGAAAGCTGCAGCTCGAGCAGAGAAGGAGAAGGACAGGGAGGCTCCACAGAACAAAGTGTGTGTCCTTTGTACGGAGATCCAGTGCATCCTCCTTGCACCATCACTAAAAACACTTCTGCCTTATTATAAAACAAAATTGGTTGAACACAACATTACCATTCATGATCTTGCTACTAGAGACGTCAGACGTTATGCCTGGGATGAAAATGAAGGTGGTCGGAGCTCCAATAGTTTTCATCATGTCTGACTCACTACCTCAGAACACGAACGACCGACTTCAACCACTTCATTACCTACAGGGATGGGTGCAACTACCGAAACAGAAATACCATCCTGGCAATCGAAATGGCCTCGCTGGCCAGAGCTGGACATCACAGTTGAGCAGAAATTCTCAACAAGGGCCATACCCAAATGGAAGTGGATTCAGTCCATGGCACTATTGAGCGATCGCTCAAAAATGCACTGATTTACATCCCAGTGGACTACGTGAACATTATGTTCAAAGCCAGACGCATCCCCAGGCCCTATGAAGTTATTATGTACCGAAATCACAGCTTTTAAAAAGATTTCTCAAAGGTTGAAGAGTACAAAACGAACTGCCCAGGTAGAAAAGCAGGTGACTGTTCTGTCACTGACATGCAGGCATTAAAGTACACTCCAGACTTTAAAACTCGGTACAAGCTGCACTTTAATGATGAATGGCAGGCGCTGCAAGGACCAAAAAAGCAACAGCTACTGCTGGACTTCTCTACAAAGACAGATTGAAGATAACTGCCAGGCAAGTATAAGCATCTACAGGAGTTGAAGGCTGTTGTACCACAATGCTACCACAATTACTATGACACTTTGCCCCAGTAAGAAGTTTCTAAGCGATCAAGTCAAATAAATGCGATTGGTGTAGAGTATTTCAAAACAATGGTGACTTTTTGCTGTATTGCCTTAATTGATATGCCATAGAACACAGAGTGAGATAGACATGCTCTTTACTTGATCAGAAAACTCAACAAAGTAAAGAGGCTTTGTTGTCAAGCCACGCCACTTGAAGAAAATTGGCATATTACTTATACTCACCAAGTCTTTTTGAATAAAAATAATTAAATAGGCTATAATATTATTATAATACAAAAATACACCCAAACAATTGCTGAAATAGCGGAGCTTTTGTATGGCTTTAAGCTTTCATTTTTGTCTAAAAATATTACTTTTTCCCCGGCATTTGAATGACCACCCAGAGTCAATAGTACTGTGTCAAACACTGTCATAAATTCTAAATGTCTGCTGCTGCTGTTGTTGTTGTTGTTGTAGCTACTCTCCCTTACCCTTAGAAACTCCTGTTGTTCTACTTCAAATGTACTGTAGTTAATAGAACCTAGTGTTGGGCTTTAGTCGATATCGATATCGGGTACTCATCGATACTGGTTTTCTTAGTCGATACTTGATATCTCAGAGTCCCTTAGTCGATACTGATCAGTGTAATGATTGTTACAGTGTTTGCCGCCTAATCTGCGTGATAGATCTATCAGAGAGCAACGTGCTGCCTACGATCACCCGTCTTTTGTTTCTAAATAGGCTTATGTTGAGAAAGAAGAAGAGCACTGTTTGGATACATTCTGAAGAGCTTCCTGGAAACAAAGAAACCAAGTGCCTTGTTTGTATTCAATGTTGCTACTTTGTTTTTTGTTTGAAATAAAAAAGAAAAGAAAACGCTTTAAAAAAAAACAACAATAAACAAAAATAATAATAACAACAAAAAGATGGCATCCTACAACTGGGTACATAGGCAGTAGGGCCTGGTAAGCTGAATGACTGACACCGTGACCTTTGACCGTTCATTCATTAAAGCGCTTCAACTTCAAGGAAACAACACGGTTAGCGCTATTTTTAGCCTTTTGTGACATCATAGTATCGATATCGAGTATCGATCGATACTGGGAACGCGGGTACCTGATACTACCCGATACTAGCTAATATTGATTAACGCCCAACACTAATAGAACCATTGATGTGTTCAGCTTCTACTTCCGGTAGATTTTTAACTTTGTTGTTTGTGACTGCCGTTTTTGCCCTAATTGATATCCAAGCACCAAAATGACGGCAGCTGTTGGTATGGCAGCGAAAAAATTGTCCTCCTCTCTTTCCTCTTTCTTCTTCTTCTTACTCCTCCCCCTCCTCCTCCTTTTCCTCTTTCTCCTTACCCTCCTCTTCCTCTTACCTTCCTCCTCCTCCTCATTTTCTTCTTCTTCTTCTTCTTCTTCTTCTGATGGTGATGATGACGGTGATGATACATGTAACAAAAAAGATAGTGACGATTAAGACGAGATCGAAAATGTTTCCGGCAAGAGCGGCTTGGCTTCGCTCAAGGCCAGCAGTAGCTTCCTGATAAAACCGGCCAAACCACAAATTAGAGGGTTGGTCAGTTTTATCCGGAAAAATTTGAACGACATAACCATCCAACCCACATATAGATCTAATCTGGTTTCATTAAAAACAATTTTTTAAGGGAAAAAAGTCAACAGTTTTTCAGCCTAAAGTGTTTTTAGAATATAAGCTATATTATAAAGTGTATAGAGCACTGATCTATAAATTATTGTTCTGCTGGGGTTAGTCAGTTTTATCACAAGGCCGACAAAATAGTGATTAAAAACTAAGTAGATTCTAAAAGTAAATAATATAATTATAGGCCTAGAATCTAAGTGAGAATAGAGTCTAGATCTAGATCTAGATCTAGTAGTCATGTGTGACCATTTGAACAGCGATTGAGTCTTTGGCTCAGGCAGACATAGATGAAAATCTAGATCTAATCAAGATCTAGATTTATATCATATGGCATATGTAAGAAGAGCAATTCGACAGTATGTATGTATACATATATAAATGATAGATGTTAATCGTTGTAAAAGCTATGGCACACACCTTGCAGACATTATATCAGTGTTATAGAGGGCAATGTCAGTCTCAACTTACCGAGTCGTGAAGGTTTGGAATTAGGCCTAACTTGCTTTGCTGTTGTTCTGTAGACTCCTGATTTGTGCTGTTCTTCTACTAGATCTAGATCTAGATCTAGATTTAGATATCTATCTACTATCCAGATTAAGTTTACCTACGGCAAGGCAAGCGCGGCTTCCGAAGACCTTCGTTCTGTGAACGGTTGGACACAACAAGTGACAAAGATTGCTACCTGAGCCACGGGTAAAGACTAACATACAAGGCCACAAGCCTAAAACATGAATATATGAGAAACCTTGAGTCGTTGTATATAAAAGTCCTTTGGGGTGAAAGTTCATCAGCCTGATGGTCTTTGAACCAGGCCAAGGACCTACTTTAGAACCTTTATACTAGGCTAACTCTTCGAGCCAGGCATTTCGTTTCGATCACGTGATATGGCGTACGCAAACAAATGAATCCGCCGCGTCAATTTTGCGAATGGCGAGGAGAAGGGAAGGGGAGAGCAGTGGTTTGCGACTTGCGATGTTAGTGTTAGCCATCCCACTGCTAACTGCCAACCTGATCTTTTATCATATTTTGGTTCATTGTTTTAGTTTAGAGCCAAATGTTAGAGTGGTGGGCGTGGTTTTAAGTCTTTTTAAAATGAAGACTGTATAAAACCAAACCAAAACGCATGATTTTCTTAAGGTCACTGGTAAAAAAATAAATATTAGATCTATATACTTCTGACCTCTGATATAAAAGGAATGCAGCAGTCGACGGAAGAGCTCATAATTAGATATATTAAGCCCAACCAGATTCCCCAAGAATTGGTAAAAGCCTAAAAAAATAAAAACTGTTATCTTTGTGATTTTTTGTTAGTCTAGTAGTAGTAGACCTACAACCTTTGTCCGCAGTTTTTGTCGGTTGGCTAAAAGTTTCCAGTACATACCAATGAGCGCATGACATAATAAATTAATTATAATGTATCGGCGAGGCCTACTTACAACATTGTCTTTACGCTCATGTGACCGGACACGCCCCCTTTCTCAGATGTAGGCCTTTTAGTTTCCCTTTTGTTATAGTGTTATATATTTTATGACGACTCCGCTGTTGAATGAGTTTGATTTTGTAATTTGATTTCGGTTTGATCTCACGATAAATTTTATCACATTCAAAAATGTTCCCATACTTTATGATAAAATATCGCTGTTTTTACCGCCCACTGAACCTAGATCTATACACACATCTGAAATTACCTTTACAACATTTTGCTTCAAGTCCGTCATTTAGATCTATAGTTCTCTCTTCTTTATTAAAAAAAGTAAGAATAGTAGGTCTCTTCATGGTAGCCAAGAGATATGTTTGGTGGGGAAGTAGAGCAGGGGTGGTTAGTTTGTCTGTCTCTTGGTTCTTCTAAACGCCAAAAACGCACGAACAAGCAAGCGGGTTAAATTTGAGCGTGAAAATGCCGCCAAGTCACCAAGTTACGCTGTTGATGCAGTACACAGAAATAGCCAATGAGCGGGCTTTAAATAGTTAGACATACCGGAAGTGTGTTTTAACTTTCGAATCGCGGTTCGTTTGCTGTGTGGATAGTGGATGGATTCGAAAGAGCTGTTTTGTTGTGTTCTGGGCTAGGCTAGGCTACAAGACGCGGTCAGACACAGACGTACAGACAACACACAAGTTGCAGAGCTGTCTGAGTCTTGTGCCCCTTCTTGATATGAAAGGTTAGTAATTGTTGCACTTTATACAATCGAGATGTAACTCACTTCCACGTCTCTAGGTTGGAAAATATGTTGATATCTCTCTACAGTACAGTTTACACAGTATTGTAACAAAATTTATACAATTTCCTTAGTCAAGTAAAAAGCTAACCCAGACTGCTGAATGAAGCTGAACAACTGGGCATTGCACAGTGACTGACAGTGATGAGAGTCAGAGAATCATCCTTTTCTAACGCATGGTAGATTTAGTAATTTAGATTATGTGTTTTACTCAACCAAGTCCCACTGACACTGACAATTGTGTGGGTGTGCAGTTAAAGCCGAATAGAAGGCTCTATACTCTATAGAAATTCAAGACCTAGATCTATACCTATACACACAGAATCTAGAGTCTAGGCCCTACACTACTTTCCTCCTGGATGGATGGAGACGGAGAACATTAAGAAGGATGATGATCACTAGATCTAGACTAGTCTAGTCTAGTCTAGAGATCTAGACGTCTAGACATAGATCTAGATCTAGGACAATCCTTTTCTTTTACGAAAGTGGCTATTCTCACCCGCCCGGAAGTTCTTGCAAGATCAACTCCTCCCCTCTTCTCTCTCTCTCCGTCTCTTTCTGAATACTGTCTATCGGTGTGGACGATCAAATTGACCAAAACAAAGTTAAAAAATGATGTTAAAACACAAAAGTAAATAAATTTGGTTGTCTACAAAAAAACAAAGATGCTACGGCTATTTAACTTTTCGAATCGAGCCGAACTACGCGGGTCGCCATTTTGTTTTGCCCGGAAATTCTCGCACTACTCCTCTCTCTCTTTCTCTCTCCACTGCCCACAGACAAAATTGTACACTTTTAGTAGGCTACAATTGTAATGGAACGTTTGTTCACGGCACAGAATTCTACAATTTTTCTGTTATCACAGTGTAGAATTCTGTGGTTTAGGGTGAACGCAAAATTTGGTGAACGCGCACCGGGTGAGAATAGCCACAAGACTCGCCTGCACTATTCTCACTCCGGGTGAGAATATAGGTGGCCAAAGAAGAGACGTGATCCTAATCCTAAAGTCTAAAGCTGTCCCTATCCCTAACCCCATCGTAATAAAGGCTAGATTCTAGATCTAATTGTTACCGTTATCCCTACCCCCCTACCCTTCTAGCCATTCTACTCTTTCTCCATGCCATAGTACTCAGAGATACCCTCATAGTACATAGTGGTTGCTCGTTACAGAAGTCCTTTATTGAATATTAATATATATCGATCTACATCTATAAGCTCTAAATCTAGCCTACAATAGTATAGTATTAGTATATCTAGATTCTAGGTCTAGAATCTACTGATACGTGTGTAGGCCTCTATAGGCTGTAGTAAAATAAAGGCCGGCTCTATAAAATTTCTCTGAACGCTCAGGAAAATGAACTTGGAACTGTATACTAGAGCTTTTTATCCTAACGGTTTCTGGACACAGACGGAGGATAGACAACCCTCGAGGGGGATTTTTTTGTTGTTGTAGTTTTTGTTTTAGGTTAGGGGTGACTAAATGCAAAATAGGTTACTGCCAAAATCGAGCAGTCTTGTTTTCTCACAGTACCTTTTGAAGGCATTTTCAAGTGAAGTAGTATAGAGGCTAGTCCAGAAAAGTTGCCCCTACCTCAATTGAAGTATCTCAATTTTCAGAAATCTCTAACTCAATCTCTAGCTCTAGAAAGTGAATTCGGTGCAAAAACTGCTTTTTATTCCCAGTCCTCGCAAAATGGCAGAATGAAAGATGACGCCGAACTCTCGCAAAAAAATATATAAAATCTAGAACGGAAACCGTTAGGAGAAATAGAGGTAAGTTTATTTTCCAGATCGTTCAGAGAAATAGTCACTTCATTAATAAATTATAGGCTTCCTCTATCTCCTATATAAAAAGGCCATTATTTTATTTTTAAGGCAGTTACAGTTTAGGTAGTAGGCTAAACCGAGTCCATCAACCTGTGATGGTATTTTTTATAGGTAGCGTCAATGGCCACCAAGTGAAGCGGTGGCAATTGACAAAAATTGACGGTAGTGTCAATTGCCACCGAGTGAAGCGGTGTCAAGTCTGAAAACAACACTGTCTTTAGCTTTCTGTTCATAATGTGTGTCTAATGGGTCAATTTGTTCTATACTAGGGATCTAATTTCATTGGACGAGCATCTAGTCTAGAGCTACGGTACCAACTTGGCGTGTTTTCAATGAGACGTAGGCCTAGATCTAGGCTAGCCTTAGCCTACACTTCGGTGTAGAACCAACGCAGGCAATTCTAGAAGTAGAAGGTCACAAATGCACACAAAAACTCAAACAGAAATTCATTTTATATCGGGGAACATAAATCCGGGGGACGGGGGTCAGGAAAAGACACACACACACACACACACTGGCAGGCGAATGCACAACACCGAGCACTCGAGCACAATAGGCTAGATCTACTCACCAACGCAAAAGAGCTCCAATTTACTTGGTGGCAATTGACACTCGACTACCTTTTTTATAATAGATTAGATTAGAAATGTTCCAAACTGGACCTATAATTATACCTCAAATAAAAGTAAATACGTTGTGTTAAAAAGTACAGATACAGGTAGGCCTAACGGATCTCTGCCGTGCGCAGTTGTCATATAAATCAGCCTGCATTAATTCATATTCAGTCATATACATATTTTATAGCTTCAAGTTCACTTTCGTCTGTCTGAGTTTTTTAAATTCTAGCTCATTTATTAATTCACATCTCTACTTCCAGGAAACTTTGCATGGCACTACTGCAGGCCAGTGACCAAACAAAAATATTTTTCCAAAACTCTTAATCCAGTTGGCAAATAAGTTTTTCTCTTTGACTTACTTTGGCTTGGGATTATAGGTGGGTGGTTGGCGGGTGCTCTGGTGTGGTTTGCATCTTTCCTATCAAACATCTATCATCCTTTTATCCCCTTGTTTTTTATGTCTGTTACTTTCTTGTATCTCATCTAATCTTCTGGCACTCTTATGACCTTATGCAGTTGCGAGCGCTGTAAAACCTCTGCTAAAAAAAAACAACCAGGGGATGGACCTATTAAAAATCGTTTTTTGGGTGCATAGAGGCCTACACTGATCACTAAATTCCAAAATGAGTTTACAGTAACTAGTAACCTCCTACAATAAATCATGCTCAGTTTGAGACAGTGACACCACCCTGTCCCCACATTTCAGTCTTAAAGTTGTAGATTTCACCTCACGGCTGTCTCGGCATCTCTACATGACTCTTGAAAATTACTCTCTCTCACTCTCACACACACACAAAAACACCCCCTCCCACCCTCCTCAAGGGTTAAGGCACTCTTTCAACTTCGAAGCTAATTTGTACATTATCATGTGTAAGATTTTTTTCCTCCACTGATACTGTTTAGTTTAGATAATTTTTAAGTCATAGACGACAAATTGGTTACAAAAACTTTCCCGGAGCCCCTGACTTCTGTATGCAACAAAATGCTATCCCCAATTGAAAGGCCAGTAAATGCTTCTGCAGACATCATGTGTTATTATTATAGCTGCCGATCAATTTTATCATACATCAGTTATTCCTGAGGAAATTTGGTTCACAAGATACAGTTTAGACAGTGACATAGTTTTATTATTTAACCCTGCCTTAACCTTCACTGATGAGAAAACTGTGTGTGTGCTTTTTGGTTGTAAACTATTTATAGTCCCATCTGTTATAGATTGGTGATAGCTACATTTGCATTTTCAAGGTTACCGCCTTATAGAGTCTAATAATTATAAAAATGTCTGCAAAGATTAGTTAATTGTAACGACTTTTTATCTCTTTGTATTCGGTTGTTTTTTTTTACAGGCCCTATTTCTATTATATATTTTGTCTACCCATTCCAATTTATGGCAGTGTCTGTTTAAAACACTGAATTTTGTGTTTATGATGCCTGTATGTGGGATAGGGTTGCAGGTTGAGAAACTGTTAAACTTAATGGATGCTATGGAATACTTGTGTTTATGCTAATAATATTTTAATGAGACACAATGCAATCTCTTCCACCATTCTTTGCTGTCCTGTCAGTGTAGCAGATGTTCTACCCTCATTTGTGTTGTTGGTTGACATTTAGAATATTAATCAGATTTGATGTTTTTTATTATCATAATGAAGAGGTGAGGATGCGCTAGAGAAATTTTAATAGAAAAATGTGGGAAGAGAACCCTGAAGGGAATTTTTTTTAAGAGAGTAGTAAAATTACAAGGATAATAACGAAATTAGAGAAAGTGGCTATGGGGATTGAGAAGAGCTCGCGTAATTCCTTGCTGTGCAGACGTTTGGCCTATTGTTGTGTTTTGAGAATAAGACCTTCACCGAAGTGTACATATTGTTATAATATACACCGAGACCTCCCCCCTTTGCCTTTGGTTTCACCCCTTTTAATATAAATACAATATTATGGTCATAGTCATAAAGTTTATGAGGCGGGCCTTCCAAATTTCCATCCATCGGTAATTTTATGAGGGGAGACCCAAACCTTGACAGGTTGCTCTTTTTACTGATCGATTCTATGTTTAGTTAACTGGAATTTAAACTAGGATCCCTAGGCCTACTGCTGTACCATTCTTACTAACAATGTTAGCCGTATAATTTTTGCTAACAATCTAAACATGATCGAAGCTATTCTTCATTCATGGACATCGTCAATCTTTGGCCTGGGATTTTTGTTTTGTAGCCTATGCTCTTCAGCTTCGAATCATTGAGTGCTATAAAACAAACAAAAAACTAATAGAGGAAATGGCTGCTTCTACAGGTGTTTGAAAGCAGGTTTTTCTGTGACGGAATTTTCAAAACCCAGACCCGGTATCCGACTTAAACAGGGCTTTGTTGCGTGTCTGTACGTGACCGCCTCCAAGAGGGCCTAGTTAGTCGACGCCTTCATCGAACGAAAGACATGCCTGAACGTAATACGTATGAGCCGTTTGATTGGCTGGTGGCGTGTGGGATTTGATTTTCATTGGTTAGCTGTATTCGGGTCATCTGTGGCGTCTCGTTGCTATGTTAACCACTGCTGTGTTCTAAATTTAGAAGCGCACATGTTACAGCAGCATTGTATTTCATGTTGTAGCTGGTTTGTTTGCTAAAGTTACGAGAATGTCTGGATCTATATATACGAAACGAATGTTTAAGGGTCAATCTTGAAAGCGTCTTCATTGTACATGCGCAGAGCTTCTATTTCCCTGTCAAGCTAAAACACTGCTGTTTAGGCAAGCATAGCCTAGCGTTTACTACGACTAGATCTACGTCCAGTTCACTGTCTCTGAATTCCGACAAATTTTTGCGGAAGGGAATTAGTGCGTTTGCGTTCGCCCAAGCTATGTCTGGAATTTTCATGAATTTGATCGACGGTAAGACACCGGATGGAATTCTGGAATCGTATTTCTTCAAACTCGGTGTTTTTTTGGTGGGTTTGTTTTTGTTGGGGGGGGGGGGGTTTCGACTATCTAGTCTGACTGGGAAATGTGTTAGTTTTGTCTCCGACTAAGCCGGCCTTGTAACCGTTTAAACCGCTGCTGGTAGCCTATGTGAGTATGTTTGTGTTAGTAGGCCTACTTCTTGACGTTTCCAAGGGGTGCTATTCACAATTTCGTGACCTGGTTCACTGTTTTGGTACTTATTAAATCAGAAGCTTTCGACATTTTTTCATGTATAATTCTACTTGTCTGTGGATGAGCTGAGCACTGCCAAGAAAATTATTTTTCTGGAAATTTTCAGAACTGTATCTTCTTATAATAGCCAGTGGCCGGTTGCATCTTTTGACTGATATAAGTTGGAGATCTTTTTTTTTTTTTTTCAATTCTGTAAGCCATTTTCTTTCCTATCCTTCACTCCCTCCTCACTGTTCTATAGTGGAACGATTTGCGTTTTAATTTTGTCCTTGTTGTGTTGACCCGTGTGGTTGTAAGATTCCTGTACTTGAATTATTTTATTTTGAGTTTCTGTTAATGTTTTCTTAGTAATAGTATAGCTGAGGCTCTCCTTTTGGAATAAAATAAGTACATCATGTACAGTGTTGGTTTAGCTTCAAGGCCTGCTTCAGGAATGTTTACTCTTGAATTTTGCCAGAATTTTCAAGGAATTACAACACTAAGATTATTTTGTGTCTAAGTCTATGACTGTCCTTGCAGTTGACATGTTTTATTTTCCGTTACTAACAGGAAAGATTGATATTTGTGAAGAATCTTTCCAGTCCACGAGCCTCCTATAAATTTGTGTTTACTGTTCCATTTCTTTACAGTTTTGAAAAGTCTAAGTGGAGTCTCAGTTCGTTTGTACCCATGGAATGAAAAGAATTCTCAGCCAGTGATGAGAGCTGCTCAGAAAGACTCCGCCACAGCAGACAGTCATAAACCAAGGACTCGCAGCACTGTCACAATATGGAGTTTACCAGAGACAGTTCTCGTTCACATATTAAAGGGACTGCACATCCGAGATTTGTTTTCCCTTCAGTGTGTAAGTCAACAACCTTCAATATGGTTCCTTCTTCTATTTCATTCGGAAATTTTAGTAGAAATACATGAGCATTTTATAACACACACATCCTTGAACTTAAAAACGTTATTATATATATATGTGTGTGTGTATTTTACTGACTTTCTTGCAATCTATAGTGAGTAGTGAGTGGTTCTTCTAATTTTTTTAAGGGTGGGGGGAGGGGGGCTCAGCTACCTTGATAGTAGATGTTCTTAGAATTAGAATGAAGGCAGATAATGTACATGGGTTGTGTGAATTATTTTTGCTTTGATTTTGACCTGCATCATTTGGTAAGGGCATGAAAAAATTAAAAGAACCCAATTACCCCAGCAGCAGGGCTATAAATACACTATAATGGCATATCATATAGATAGATTGGGGGAGGGTGGGGGGTAGCACAACATCAATATTATGTTTATGATTTTGGACTCATTATTTTCTGACTTTGTGATATTGAATTGTTGCGTCTCACTGACTTTTCATGTGCCTTGTTAATAGAGTTGATTTGATTAATTTTAAAAAATGAAACAATTGTCCTTTAGGGTAAACAGGGATATGTTGACTTTCTTTGAATTTTGTATTTTCAGGCTCACTCAAATTTTCGTGATGTGGTGGACAACAATAAAAGTGTTTGGGCTCACATATCCTTCTCAGAGTCGTGGCCCAATGAAGAAAATTTGCATCATTTTGCAAGGTGAGTTTCATTTGTGTCTTTATGCTTGTTCTGTGGATAACACTTTTTTTTTCTTTTTCTTTTTCTTTTTTCTTCTGAACTTCAGAACGATATGTCATTTTTTTTAAATTAATGTTACGAACTCACTGTTTCAATTTAGTCAATGCGACTTTGGTTTGTGAGTACATATATCTCACCTATTTTTTCTACTAAACGGATCTCCTCTTTTGTTTGTCTTTTCTTTTGCTTTAAACTTGTAAATGTTTGTCATTGTCCCTTTTGTGTTGGTTTCAATGACTCTGTCAGTGACACTGTCTTTAATGTTAATTGTTTCAAGTTTGAATAACACTGGTGTCTGTTGTAAAGTGGTTAGGCGCTTCACTGTTGCACGTAGGAGATCGGAGTTCGATTCCGGGGTGGGGGGGGATTTTTATTGAGTAGGCCTTTCTTTGTCTGTGTTGGGATGTTGTACTCCTTTCAGCCTGGGTTTGCCTTGACAGCAGGGTCGGAAGCCCATCTCCTAAATGATTTAAATTGTGTCGATGATGTTTTAAAAACACAGATTTTTATTTATTACTTTTTTTTAAGGTGTGAACAATGGTTTGGAAAATAATGTGTGCATGACATGTTTTTCAGGGCATCTGAGTTGGGCAACTTTGAGGCTACAATCAAGCTGGCCGTTGCTTATTTGTACAAAGAAGGCTGTAAGTTTAGTTCTGAATACAGACGGGCACTGATAACTTAAACACGTCGAGAATGACAAATGTGTTCTATACGTGTATAATTAGAGTAAACCAATGTAGCGAAATATTAAAGAGAGACATATCCATCTGGAAATAGCAAATTGTTCAAGCTATCTGTGATTTTGGATTTTCTGTGTTTTTGTTATCTGTGCCCAACTGTATTTGCTTGTGGGGTCAGCATAGATAATAGATGTAGATGACTCAAATTAATGAGCACTGCATCTGTTCCTTAAATAACGCATGCTGTAATTTAAGTAAGCCTGGTGTTTCACGCTAATGCCTACCAGAAAGTGCTTTGCTCACTTTTTACTTTTTTGGCCTCTTTTACCTTTTGTTTGTTGTATCGCCTGTTTCATGTGTATATTGTTTTTGTCTTATTTCTCTGACCCCCTCCGTCCATCTTTTCTTGTGTTTGCCTCTTCCTCTGTATCCATCTGATCTCTGGTAATTAATATTTACAACAGAGTATAGTTTTTTTATTAGAAAGAGTTGATTGCTTTGAATTATATTGTTGATGCTTAAAAATAAGAATTTATTAGTTCTCTTTCGCAGATGGATGGTGGGTGCTGTTTGTAGGCCCTGTCCTCCTCTCCCGTTCTTTCTGTCTACCACACTAGTTTTTTCTTTGGACTAGATAATTGTGTCGGTGTTCTTCTCTTTACTCAAACAAACCCGTCCTCTTTCATGCTATCAACATATATGTCCATGTCTTCACAGTGACAAATGAGGATGTTCCAAGCATCGGGCAGGCTGCTGCAGAGTATCTCGGCCGAGCTGAAAATCTTACCCCAAACACGTTTCCTTTCTTTTGGATTTTCATCCGGCCACCTTGGTCGCCTGACGGCTCATGTTGTAAAATTCAAGCGTTTCACCATCTCAAAACTCTGGTGGATGAGGCAAGTATAATGCTGCATGTTGATATTGTTCCTGATTTATAGTTGAAATACAAATGTATTGGGGGGGGGGGACTTACCTAGTATGTTTCGTGTTTGTGGTTCAAGCAAGCAATATGGTAAATTCAGCTATTCCGTTGCATGTTTTTAAGTTTGCGAAGCACTGTCACTGATCCCATTATCCGTGAGGATTCTAGGGGCACTGTATGACAGAGAGCCTCGTCAGGTGTCTCTACTTTTCACTGACATTTAACAAAGTGATGTTTGCCGACTAGCTATTAATTCTGCTATTTTCATTTTATTTTAATTCTAATTCTCTTGCTAGAAGTTTTACAGCTTGAGTGCTTCTAACCAGTAAGAAGTACACAGGTTTTCAAGTAGTGTCAATCTATTTTCTCTTGATGTCTGCATTATTTTGAAGAAAAATAATATTTTTACCTGGGATGTTGGAACAATACTTGACTAAAGCTGCTACGGCTCTATGAGTTGTATGTGTAACTCACTAGGTTCTACTTAACGGAAGTTAACCACTAGTGCAACTGTTGTAAGCTGTAACGCTTTTATGGTCTTGCACTGCTTCAGCAATTCTTGTTGGTTTGATTGATTTACACACTTTTGCCCTCCCGGGAGTCCTATTGGCGACGGTAGGAAGAAAAGAGAACATTTTGTGAGTTTTGGCTGTTTGCAGCCCATGGAGGAATTCCTTCTTTTCAACAATGGTGGATGTTTTCCTGACAATAAAGATACAGGTGCCACTGAGTTATATTCCCCAGTGTAAGAGCGCCGTAAAACCTCTACTAAAACGAACAAACTTACTCGTTACATCTTTCCATCGAGTGAATGGTTTGTTTTCATGCTTCGTTTTTTAAGGTTGTTTTGTTGTCATAGCTGACAATTTTTTAATTACAATTTTTAATCATTTTCAGACTGAGGACAAAGACCTGGCTTTTGGAGTTGCTTTAACGCTGAAGCTGCTTCGTCTCTCCTTGCAAGTCGAGTCGAAAGAAGGGGAAGAAAAGTACTTTAAGATGGCTGTTGAAAATCAGTCTGCAGCAGCAGCATTCTTCTCTCTTCTTGACTGCTTTTCGGATGAGGTAAGTGGTTAGATTTCTTTTGATTGTTGGGGGAGGGGGGGGGGTCACATTAAAGTTAGTTTTGGAGCAATTTTTTTTTCCGTTGATAATTTGAAGTGTTTTGTGGGTAGGTCCGAAGCTGTATGTCAAAGTTCAAATATTGTGCCTGTACCATGATTATTTCCCAGAAAAAGACAGGCTTTTATTGTTGTGGCTGCTGTCCATCAAGCAGCTTTTGGTCTTTTGCCCTTTGACCTGTTTGGGGGGGGGGGGGCTTCCATGACAATCATTATTTAGAAAATTTGTTTGGAGTCTGGATGTTTCACTTGAAAGAAATGAATAAATATGCTATTTACAAATGAATAGATATATGTGATAAGAAACTGTCGAGTTCGCTTGTAATGACTTGTCTAAAAATGTGTAAATGATTTTGGGAAGTGCTTTTTTAATCATTTATTTTTGCTGCTTTGTAAAGTGGGAGTCTTTTACAAGGCTCAGTCCTGAACATCAAACCAATTTGACTCTCAAAGGATACTTTGACGAGAAATGAATTGCCAGTAGCATCTAAAAGAACATTCCAGTTGTAATTTCAATATCCATATAATTAATTGAATGGAAAATAATGTGTGGGCACAAATATCACGTTGTGTGGCATCAGGTGTCACTTTTTCATCAGGCGTTCAGAACCTCCTCATGAAAGATCTTGTCCATTTCTTAGTGTTTGAGTGCTTAATCAGCTGCTTGCACTGTATGCTTCCCAGGAAGCTGAGAATGTTTGTGAGTGTTCTGTTGTCTGTTGGGGTAATAATATAGTGTGAGGCGCATAGAGCTTGCTTTCGAATAGGGACATGCGCTATACAAATGCTATTTATTATTATTGATTACAGGGGTGAAGGCTGTGCTCTTTTTCCACTGTGACCTTTTTGTATTTAAACATAAAATGGTGCCTGCTTTTGTTGTGTAGAGGTTAGGGGCTTTGCTGTCGCAGGCAGGAGACCCGAGTTTGATTCCCGAGTGGGGAGAAAATTTTTTTCGAGTATCTCGGTCCTTCTGCTGGGATGTTATACTCCTCACTGCCCGAGTTGGCCGTAACAGACAGATGGAGGCCTAACTGATTTGAACTATGTTGAAGAAGGCGAAAAAAAAACCCCTACATTTTTAAATTAGGAAATTAAACTGACGGTGTTAAATGTTGCTCTTTCAGCCTGACAAAGCCAAGGAACTGGAACGCATTCGCTTGCTTCGATTCATCGCCTCCAAAGACATACTTGAAGCCAGGCTCAACCTTATCAAGTGCTACACTCAGGGGCAATATGGTGGGATTTCTAACTTACGGGCAAGAGAGTATGTTCAGGACTTCTTCAAATCTTCGAAACCATCTGGAATTCATATTACCTTTGCGAGTGGCAAAACTTCGGACTTCAGGTAGGTGTGGAGGTAGTCTGTATATCTTTTATTTTGGAGTTTTGCTTTTTTTTAGAATGTGAAAAACTAATTGATTGCGTTCCTGTAATTTTACACACACTCTCTCTCTCTCTGTCTCTCTCACCCCCTTTCCCTTTCCCCCCTCTCCTCTCTCTTTCTCTCTCTCTCTCTCTCTCTCTCTCTCTCTCCCCCTCCCTCCCTCCCTCCCACAAAAGTATATAGGCATTGTGTGGTGTACAGTCTAACTTGCTAAAGCAGAAGTTCTTCTTGTGTTCTCCATAACTGAACGTCAAAATAAAATAAAAAATGATTGGGCCATATTGTTCATTCTCTTTTTGTATGATGTACCGGTTTTGTCCTTTACATAAAGATAGTTTTGACACAAATTTTGAGTCTCTGCTGTCATGTTTCTATTTTCTGGCGCTCATATGACCTTATGCAGTTGCGAGCGCCATAAAACCTCTACTAAAACTAAAAACTAATAATTTTTTATAGGGGTTTTTTTTGTTTTGTTTTTTTTGGGTAGGTATTTTCAATAGGCCTGAAAAAAAATTTTGTGTCTGTTTATATTAAATATTGTTTGAGACATCACATTTCATAATAGGCGTAAACCGTTTTTTACTTCTGTTTTTCTTTACCATAGTTTTGTTTGTTTTCTGTATAAACAGCCGATACATCTTGGTGGACTGGTTGGTGGAGGTGGTTGGAATGAAAGACTTCTCAGCTCACACTCTGTATCTGGCTGTCAGCATGTTTGACCGATACCTACAAGTCCGAAAGATTCCAAGAAGTCATGTTCAGTTGCTTGGAGTTGCTGCCATGGTCATCAGTTCACGGTATTGGTACTTTCACGCTTTTCGCATGCGTGTGTGTACGTACGTGTGTTGTGTGTGTGTGTGTGATTGTTTTTGTGTGGGTTATGTGTGTTACAGTGCCTGTGGTCATGGTTGTATATGTGCACGCAGACCCCTGTGTGTGTGTGGATGGTTTGCGGGTGCTCTGGTGTGGTTTCCTCCTTTTTCCTATCAAACATGTATCGTCCTGATCTCTCCTTTTTTTTTGTTTTTACTCTCTTGTAACACCTCTAATCTTCGGCTCTTATATGACCTTATTGTGTTGCAAATGCCGTAAATCTCTTACTAAAACTAAAAATATGAAAATTTCTCAGCATTTTATATGAAATTTTCTCGTGATCATTTCCTTCTAGCTTCCTGGGATTTGATATCTTAACCATCCGTGAGGCAGCATGGCTGACAGACAACAGTTACTCCTACCACGACGTTGTGAAGATGATGGGGGAGTTGGTGGCAGCTCTGAGAGGGAACATTCGAGTAAGTGTGGTGTAGAAGACGTATGGGTGGTTGGCGGGTGCTCTTGTATGGTTTGCTCCGTCTTTCTTATATTAAATGTCTATTGTCTTCATCCTCCTTTTTTGTGTTCTCTTGTAACACCTCTGGTCTTTGGCACTTATATCCTAATTGTGTTGCATGTGCTGTAAAGTGCTAACTGAACCTAAAGATGTCTTACCATTGCACAGCTCCAGGAGTATGCTCTCGTGTAACAGGACCTGGACAGCTTAAATTAAGTGCCTGAGAAGCTAATACAATGAAAGGGTTTCTTTTTCAAGTTGTAATATTTATTGTGGCTCTTTTAGTACTGAGCCTTTTTGGGTCCTGACGGACGATATTAAAGCAGAATGCATGGTATGACTTTGCGAGGGGGCTAGATGTAGAGGAAGTAGATTGCCCAAGAATTGCTTCCCTTCCTTCTCATTTTGGCCTCCTAGATACGTTCGAAGGAAGAGACATCTTCAACACTTTCTGGTCAGGGAGAGTGTAAGGGTGTGTTATACTATTTTACTGATGTTATAGGGATTTTTCTTTGTGTGGCGAATTTTTTTGAATTAATTGAGACAGGTACATGCTCCGGCGATCACAGAAGTGCCTCGGGACAGGTTGCGAAAGACGATAGCGATAAGTTGTAAGCACACAAGTTAGTCTAGACATGTTAGTCTTTTAATATGGAATGCAACTGCATTGACTATGGAAATTAATATTACAAAGATTACTGGACACACTCCTTTAAAAAAAGTAAGGGGACAGGAGGAGTAATAAGTAGAAGAAGAAGAGGAAGAGAAAATCAGACTTGCCAGCACGCACCGGGTTCGAACCCATTCCCTTTTTTATTATGTTTCCTTTAAACAAGAGAGAAAAAAAATACAAAGTATCTTCCAGCTGTGTCCTATGGTGTCTGTAATGGTAGCTTTATAGATCTCCCTTACTTAGGTTTTACAGAGATGGGTTGCACTGGCACTGTGGATGAAAGAGTCGGGGCTCAAGCAATGGACTCAAAAGAAATAAAATTACTTCATAGTTAGTTATTGACCTCTTTGTGTTCCCGAGTTTGAAGGATACATTAAAGATTAACTTTGGCTATTTGTTTTGCTTTTGCAGGTATTAACTATTCAGGATTATGTGAAAGTGTTGGTGGCAATTGTGAAGGAAACAGGCTATGCGGCCATGTTGGTGGAATACATAGCAATGTTGTGCCTGCTGCAGTCGGAGATGGGACAGTACAGCTCTGCTGAAATCGCTTCCTCGTGTGTGCTTTTGTCTCGACTTCTCCTCAATCATGGTATGTCTGTCAATGAACAACATATAGTGCGGTAAAAAATTTGTGGTGCGACCTATTGTCCAATATCTCCTCAACTGTCGAACATAGGTTCTCCAATTTTTGCACAATGATTTGTTTCTATTTGTCTTAACAGATCAACATTTTTGTAAACACCTACTAGCTGTATTCTGGAAAATTCCTTAATAAATACTAATAAAAAGTCCAAGTGGGTGGTTTCTTCAGTTTTTTTAATGTTTACTGCTGGGGCAATATTGCTTTTAATAGCAATAGCATGTTCGTCATGTTTTTCTAATCGGGACATAATACTTATTGAACGCATGCTTTGAGAACCATTAGTGCAAAAAATGTGTTCACAATAAAAATAATTTCTTGTAACTAGTTTTGCAAGTACAAATTGTCATTGATGAGCTGTGACGCTAGCCATATATGCGTAATCAAAATGTGTGTGAGAAGCGGAAAGTGCTGTGAACAATACCATTTTACGTGCGACAGATTTCAAGTATTTTATATAACTTAATAAACAAATGTTTTTTAATCTAGCCCGGTTGTTCTGGAAAAATATGATTTTGTTAAGACAAATTGATACTAACTGCTGTGCCAAGTATGGAGGACATTGATTCATCAGTTAAAGAGATGTTTGAGGCTAAGTTGCGCCACGAATTTTTGACCACCCTATAGTTGATTACAATGAATAAGGTGACATTGTTAAAGATATGGTACATTATAGAAAACACTATTACCCAGTTATCTGTAGTTTGTTTGGTTTGGTGGGAAATACCAAGAATGTGTCCCTAACAAAAAGACCAAAAATCTCATTTTGAGTAATCCTTAGTAACATATTGACCTGATTTTGCTGCTCGAGTAATTTAATTTTAAAAATTGCTTCATCAGCTTTGGTATTTGCCGGGGATTGGTGGGTGTCACTGGGAGATCCTCCTGTGTGTTCATCATACCTTTTGATTTTATTTTGATGTCCTGCTACTATAAATCGCTTTATGTCGAATGTGTTCTCTTGACGCCATATTACTTCTTGTGCTCATATTCCTCTTTTGAGAACAGCAGAATTTTCTATCAAAGATAACATTGTTGTTTGACAGTCGATCCCTGGCCTTCAGAACTCCAAGAGTGGACGGGCTTCACCCAGGATTATTTGAGCTTGTGCACTTTCCACATTCACAAAAAATGGTAAGGGAAAACTGTAGGAATTTTTACTAATCTTTTTCTTAATGTTACTCCCCCAATAAACATGGCATTCTATTCTTAGGTATGTGGGCGGTTGGCTGGTGCTCTGGTGTGGTTTGCTCCTTCTTTCCTATCAAACATCTATCGTCCTTATTTCTCCTCCTTTTTTGTGTATGTTACTCTCTGGTAGCACCTCTATTTTTCGGCACTTACATGACCTTATTGTGTTGCAAGTGCTGTTGAACTCTTATGTAGGTGGTTGGCGGGTGCTCTGGTGTGGTTTGCTCCTTCTTTCCTATCAAACATCCATCGTCCTTATCTCTCCTATTATTTGTATGTTTCTAATAATAAACGCCTCTAAACTTCGGTACTTTATATGACCTATTTGAGTTGCAAGTACTGTAAAAACATACTTAAAATAAACTCCCCTTTTTTGTGCTATAAAAGTTGCTGTTTTTGACATTGTGACAATTGAAGCATGTACAGGAATTTGTTTTTGCTGTTTCAGATGTGAGTATAATTCCATTCAATTCATTGTGATTGTTTGTTTTTTTTAGCCTCCAAGAGGGCTCAGAGGTGGAGTATAGGGAGAGCAAACTGCAGGCCGTCAAGATACGCTATGGGGACATCAACAGATACGGGGTCAGTGATATTGAGGTACGTACGGACACATTTGAAGTGTGCTGACAAAATGAGTTACTTCTTAGGTTCGAGCCGTGTGAAAATAGATACGTCACGCTTATAGGTGACGTTTTTACAATTTATAAGTATGAAATAATAAAAGGCATAATGTTATACTTCAAGAATGATGTGGCAGCAATGGCAAATCTACAAATTTGACCCTCATGTCAATTTTTGGCTAATATCTTCATTTGTGGAATGCAAGAAGTAACTCATTTTGTATTCTGATGTGGTTTGCTTCCTTCCTATAAAACATATCCTTATCTCTCCTTTTTTGTGTGTTTGTTTCTCCCTTGTAACACCTCTAATCGTTGACACTTATATGACCTAATTATGTTGCAAATGCCTTTAAAAAACTATTACTAAAGCAAATTAAAAACCCAAATTTGTGTCTCTGATTTGGGAAATTGAAAAGCTGTGTGTTTTACAGGTGGCTTTTTTAGGCAATGAGCTCAGAATAGCTTTTTCGAAATGGGGTAAACTTCACCAGTAAAAGGGTTTTAATCGATTCTTTCCGGTAAATTGGTTTTTGGCGGGTGCTCTGGTGTGTTTTGCTTCTTCTTTCCCATCAAACATCTATCGTCTTTATCTTCCCTCCTTTTTTATGTTTGTTACTCTCTTGTAACACCTGTAATCTTCGGCACTTAAAATGACATTATTGTGTTGCAAGTGCCGTAAAACTCTTACAAAAACTAACTTTCAGGTAACTGGGCATAAAGAGCTGTGCCGTCGACTTGGGGTCACCAGATTGGTCTCACACGGCAAGAACACCAAGGCCATAAAGTTCCGCAACACCGATGAGCTGATTATGTCCCCTCGTCGAGGGAAAGGCTCCGACTACCCTCAGAGGACCTGCTCGTCTCCGGAGAAACGCTACGTCGATCGGAACCAAGCAGCCACACCACCAATCAAGAACTCTTATGTGTTGGAGGAGGGTTTCAGCGGATACGAAGGAGACCTGGATGCAGACTTAGATGGTGAGAGCTGTTTATTGTTATCTGGTTCACAGAAGCCATTCCCAAAGGGGGGATATTAACATGTTCTTATGCACAGTAGAATTGTAAATGGGCTGATTTATCAATGTCATTCTCATACTGTGCCGGAACAACTTAGGGAGAACTGCTGCTTTTTGTTTCCTTATCCTTACTATAGTCATTTTTTTCTGTACTTCTTTTGTGTGTTGGCCGCTCTCTTGTGAACCGCTATTTCCGGGGTGCCTTGATAATAGAGGCAGACTTTGGGCTGTTGAGGCTAGAGAGGTGAGCAGAGTAAGCCTGATACCCCGTTTGGACTTCTCTGTTGACATCCACCCCTTGGCGCTCATATGACCTTTTGTAGTTGTGAGCACCGTAAAACCTTGCTAAAACAAAAAACAAACAGCATCTGGGGGGAGGGGGGGGGGGTGAACCCCCCACATCCCGCCCCAGAACCTTTCCACCTCTTTGGAGATATGTTTCTCACAAATTTGCCATGTGTGCAGTATGATATGTTTCTCACAAATTTGCCATGTTTGCAGTATAATATAAAGAAGGGAAAAGACTTACCACATTGATTATGTATAAATTAATTACCCTGTTTTCAAAGTGGCCAGCTTTCAGAAACACATTTTTGCAGAAGTATGAGTTTACCACCTACTATACCTCAATAGGTCGTATCTAAAGTGGACATAACCTATTGGGTTTCAGGGTTGTAATTTTTGTTGGCTTTTGGGTCTTTGGTTTGACTACCTATTGCCAAGGAGTGATAGTTGTGTGGGTTGTCATGATAGATATAAAATCAAGATGCCACAAAGTGCTAGGGCGAAATGTTGAACCCTTTGACACCACGCTTATAGTAAAACCATTTTTTACAAATGTGTGTAATGGTAGAGAACTTTTCACTTTTCTTCAGCTTTACAACTGTGATTAAGGTTAGGGTCTGGCTTCCTTTTCTTTTTTCCCCCATTTTTTTCCTGCTTGTTTGTTTGTGCTTGTTGTATGTCTCTGATGGATGAAAAAAGTGAGGGTCTTGGTCTTCTTTGTACCTTACAGTGGGCTTCTTTTCTCCTCCCTCAGAGTGTTTCAGTGACCGGTCCGATGTGTTGAATGAAGAGTCTGACCTGGAGAGATCAAACCTGGCAGAAACGTCTGATGAAAGTAAGGACTGGGATCCAGAGGAAAGCTCTTTGATAGAAGAGGAACCGGATGAAAGCCGGGACATGAGTGGCATCGATGTAAAGTGCCCCACGAATAACGCCGATGATCATGATGATGCTGAACGGGAGATTGTTTGCCTGTCAAGTATGTGTCATTCCCGGAATAATGTCAATTGTAGATCGGCATCCTCCTCGCCATCCTCCTGCATTTGTAACTGCTCATGCAAATCGGGATACAGTGCCATAAGTAACACTCAGGGAAATGAAGAGTCACCCAAACTATTATCGTTCTCCTCTGCTTCAGCGTCAATTCTGTCCGATTCATCATCGCCATCATCCTCATCTTTATCTCCAGGGGTACCTGGAATCATCCAGAATGTCCGCCATTGCATTCCGAGCGGTAGCATCCGTCAATCATCCAAGTCTTCCCGGAGAGGCCGAGGAAACGTGCCAAAGACCCTGTGTGATATATCATTCCATGAAAAGCATATCAAACACGTGGACAATGTGGTTGATGACCTAGAGTCTGGCCCGTCCTCCTCCCCCAGGAATAAGGCAAAATTGTTGGTAAACTGCAAATCTACTCAGGATTTTTCCACCTTTGATGCTGTCGGCCCAGTGAAAGCTGAAAAGATTGAGGTTCCAACAGATGAACGAATAACGCATGGCTTGGCTCCGTCCAAGTCTGACCTGGTTCAGTTACCTGCCCCTGGTCATCCCAGGGTTAGTTGTTCCACGCCAGCCTGGGCTGAGTACAGCACTCCTGACAGCGAACACACGGCCCCTAGACAAGGTGACTTGTCAACTGCTTGTTGGCAGGGGAAAGCCGGGCCAGACAAAAGTGAAAGCTCTCCGGCACTTTCAAGTTCCTCATCACTCCCAGGTTTGCCATGTGAGCAGTCGCCCCGGCAGAAGTGTCAGGGATTTACTCACGTTGCTCACAAGTCGACGCCTCATCTCTCAGGCTTCCGTCATGGTTGTGTCGAACTTCATCCTTGTGACAAAAGTGTTCATCTCGGTGTTAGCGATATCTGTGGGCATTTGTTGGATTCTAGGGTTGAGGGCGGTACTTGTGGTGACCACAGCGGAGTTTGCTCGGCCCTGGCACTTCCCTGTGGCTCTGGTCTCAGTGGCGGTGTTAGTTCTGAAACGCCAGAGACCTCTGTGAAGCCTCACTCATCTTGCCTGAGCTTCGACAAGTACAGCTGTCATTCGGGAAGGGTGGTGTCTTCAAGGGTCCCCAACGGCGATGAAGGTGCCACTGAATGTGTTACAAGTCCGAAACGACTGTCAAAAAGGGTCAAACTCGATTACTCGCATCCATCTGTGACATATGTTTCCAAAGCTCAAAAACCTTTACCTGGCTGTGTTAATTCAGCATCCTGTGATACTGTGGAGGGAGTCCACAACACTTCAACTAGAGCTGTTGACTGTGAACGAAATGAACAGAATGACATATGTATGCAAAGGAAACGGAAAGGTTCTATCAGTAGTCATGTATATTATTGAGCCTAATTGAATGTGAAAGGTGTTTGATATTCTCGTCAAATTGAGAAGCTTATCCGAGTACCCACCCAAAGGGCCTATTGCACAGGTGACATTTGATAATTTTACAGTCATAGGGGGGATGGGTGAGTTTGGACTCTGCTGATATCATTCTCATGCTAACTGGATGTGGTAAAGTAAAATTGGAGGGGATCTCTCAGAGCTGCTGCTCATGTGAAAGAATGGAATGGAAGTTTGAAGTAACAGTGAGATAGAAGTCCTGCAATTTGCATTGAAACATCCCTGTTGCTTTTTATTTTAAAGTTATTAACTTTTGAAATTGTCTCCGAATGGCTTTATGTTGCTTCAAATTTTAAGTAATATGAATCATATTTTTGTTTCTCGACAACTGAAAGAAAAGGTTTCTTTTGTTTGTGAAATTACAAGTGGGCAATAATTTATTTTACCTCCTGCTATGGGAACAGATGCTCATAGTATTGCAGCATGTGGAGGACCTGTTTATAATGTCCTTCATTGGATGAGCACTGTCAAGACTCAACTCAGAATACCACTTTGTGGGCAGTGGCGGATCTGCTCAAAATCAGTCCCGATATTTTTTATACTTTTTTGTTTGTTGCCTTGTTCTTTTTATATTTACCTCATTATTTATGGAGGCTTTTTTTTTCTTTTGACAAGATTTCTTTTTGAAAAGGCAATTATTGTGCCATGATGACACCATCTTTTAGTTACCATTGTATAAAGTTTTATCAATTGAAATCATGAAGATAAAAAAAAATGGTGCAAGTAAATTATTCCCTCTAGATACTTGCTCCTCAACTCTGTATAGTTCTATATCAATGTCCCAAAAACCAACTGGGAGTCTCATACCTGTTTAACATCGTACCCCATGTGAGTGATTATTTTTTTTTTGCCACCAATGTAAACTTTCCCTTTTGTATAACCTGTTGGAGTCATTTCCCTTGTATTACCTCTTTGCTTTTCCTCCCTACCTCTTCTTTTCATCAGTATTTTGTATTGCAATGTTGGGTGGTTGGCGGGTGCTCTTGTGTGGATTTCTCCTTCTTTCCTATCAAACATCTATCTTCCTTACCTCCCCTTTTTCTTTTTTATGTTTCTTACTCTCTTGTATTATTGTAACACCTCTAATCTTCTCGCTCATATGACCTTATGCAGTTGCGAGCGGAGTAAAACCTAAAACAAGAGTGGCTACCACAGCAGATTGTAAAAATACAGTAGAGTATGCTTGAAAGCGATTAATTATCAGAAAACAGCAGCAAGCGGAAAGAAAGTAAAATTCCCAATTTTATTCCTTCTCTTCGAACAACCTCTCTAAACCAAAGGAAATCCGGAGGTCCTGCAGATTTGGGTGTAAACGGACTCCACTGTACATGCTCTCTCATTGTGGATGTTAACCTTCTGTGGGGCTTTAGTTCTGACTGCACGCAGGTACATTGTACCGTTGTATGGTAATGTGTCGGGGTTCAGTGGTGGAATGGAAGAGAGGGTGCGACAAAATGTGAGTGAAACTGTGGCAGTGAGGTTGGAGTGGGAATATCCCCCAGCAGTGTACTTGTGGTTGGCTGGCGGGTGCTCTGGTATAGTCTGCTCCTTTCCTATCAAACATTGTCTCCTTCTTTTGTTTCTATGTTGCTTTGTTCTAGTTACACAACCTATAATCTTCGGCACATATTTGTGTTGTGAGTGCAGGAAAATTCTTACCAAGAAGTTTTAAAGATGTAAAAGTCCAGCAGAGTGAATGCTGACTGGCATCATGTCACGTACTCCAATTACACCGTGGGCTCAAAGTCACATTAACTTGAGTATCTTTTTCGGGTTTTGGACATATATGCAATGATCACCTGCTTTTCTGCTCTTTTCTCTTATGGCGCTATACATCGTTTTTATAAGGATGAAAGGTGGACTTACAATCTGCTGTTCAATTGTGACAAGTTTTTATTTTTATAAGTTTAAAAGTTAACTCAATGCCTGACTCAACTCTATGTCTGAAGACAGTGTATCTTCTCTAGAAGCCTCGATGTATATGGTTGTGAGGGAATCTTATTTGTTCTTCCCGGTCATGCAAGCACAGAAAGAGCTAAAAGAGGCAGAGTTTGCTTTCACTGTTTTTCATCGTCTTATTTCCTGGATAAGGATCACTTCTTGCATTGACATTCAATGTCAAAGGATTTTCTTGCTGCTGTTCCACGACTTTTCTTTTTATGGATTTCCTGGTATGTTGGTCTCCTCCAAATTTGTTCTCTTCACTTCTTCATTCTGAGTGATTTGTGCTTTTCAGCAAAGATTGAGAATGTCTTTTAGAGTTCTTTTGTACTTGTCATTTCACTTGTTATACTTAAAAAACACAAACATAAATAATATACATGCACATATTCTGAGGGAGGTGGGTGGAGTCATATCACTTTGACTTTGATATGCTTTACCCTTTTCTCAATGTTTTTTGTATGAAAATAGTAATATATTTATATAATGTGTAATCTATACTTGATGCATACATGTACGGAATAACTGTCTGTCTTGAAAAAAAAAAAGAAATTTGATTGCTTGACTTAAGCGTGTCTTTGTACTATTCATCCATTGTTGAAGCTATTGGTGGCATTACTTCTAATTCACTGTGCTGGACACCCAGTACCCAGCAATCTGTGTGTGGGTCTTTGTAACATTTGTGTGTCACAGAGCACTTTTCAATGCAAACTCCCATCCTGTTCTTTTTATTTTGAGAATAGTTTTTTTAATTTAATTTTTTTTATAGAGATAGGTGGGGGTTTTTTAAATTGCGAGTACTGTGTACTGCTGTGTGCTGCAAATGTAAGTCTACAGCAATTTTTGTTGTAAAAGAAAATTATAGTAGAATTTTACTTTTGCAATAATGCTTAAATCTCTTTACCTCACATTTTGTTATTGTCAGTATTTGAAAATTTATCTCAGGATTTGATTTAAAAAAATTTTTTTTGGTCTGATATTTGTTTAGTAAGTGTATGTTTTTTGTATCACAGATTCGTTAGGTATTGTGTTTCTGTTTGGGAGGGTTTTTTTTCTCAGACACACAAGTGAACAAGCTTATATATATAAATATATTTATTTATAGCAGTTTCACAAGTAGAATTCAACATGGTTCCCACCTTAATTCATGAAGGAAATTTAGTGTACAACCCCCTGGGGCGGTGCTGCTGACTGAAATGTCTTTTACTTTAGGCCATTCCCAAAGGGGGGGGGGGGGGGGGGGGGGCAGACGTCTCGAGTTCTTATGCACAGTAGAATTGTTATTGAAAATCGGCTGATTCATCAATGTCATGCTCATAACTGTGCCTGAACTGCAACAGAGAACTGCTGCCTTTTCTTTCCTAATCCTTACTATCGTCATTTTTCCTCTTACTTCTTTTGTATGTTTTTCACTCTTGTGACCTGCTATTTCTGGGATGCTTTGATAGTCAAAGCTGACTTTGTGCTGTTAAAGCTAGAGAGGTGAGCAGACTAAGTCTGATTTTATGTTGACATCCACCCATTGGCGCTCATATAACCTTATGCAGTTGCGAGCACCATAAAACCTCTACTAAAAACGAATATTTCCTCCATGTGCATCTCATTGTTTAAAAAATGTTCTTCTGCCTGTTGTTTACCCCTCCTTTGCTCTATGTTGTCATGTTAACTCTGTCGTTCTTGCTCTTTTTTTTCTTTCTTTTTTAAATAAAAATACATTTCTGTCCATCCCATTGGAACACTTGCACTGTTTGGTGTGCTTCTTCAGTCTTGATTGATATACAGGGATGCCTCTTTTCCGCTTTTTTCCGGTATTTTGATCGTTATTCGCTATTGAGATCGAGATAGAATCTATAGTTCTCCATGTACACCCTTTGGGTTTCAAATTGATATTCATATGTTAGCGAGACCCTGGCGCATGGATTTTCAGCTATTTTTTAAAAAGTTGAGTGGCATCCCTGGATGTAATACCATGCTTGTTGCTTGTTTATCTTGGTGGATTTTTTGCAAGTGGAGAGTAGTGCATCAGTGATCATTGTCAAGTGAATTTTCTTGTAATGGTAGGAAGATTTGTGTGTGGTGGCCAAAAAAATGGGTGGTTGGTGGGTGCTCAAGTGTGGTTTGTTCTTCTTTCCTATCGAACGTGTATTGTCTTTATCTCTCCTCCTCCTTTCCTGTGCCTGTATCTCTCCATTGACACCTCGATAATCTTCGTTTCTTATTTGTGACCTGTTTGTATTGCAAGTGCTGTAAAAGTGCAATGTTCTGGCTCCAAAAGATTGCTCCAGCTTCTGTACTTTTTCTGCTGTTGTTTCTGTCTAGTGTCTGTCTGACTTTTTCCCAACACTAAATGACCATTATTCAATTATTGTGTTGATGGGCTTCTCTGTACTCAAAGAAACAGTTTAGTGGAAGGTCTACTATAAGTCCTGTCAGATTAGCAAACTACAATCGTCGAAACAATTTTTTATATGGCCAGTGACAATCTTGGAAACATTGTGATTGATCTTAAACCAAAACCAGTTATTAGACCAGTCCGGTGGTAAACTGTCAAAGTAAACGGAAACATTACTTAACTAAACCAGTACCGAGCGATATTGATGCCAATTTGTGTTTGGAAGATGTAAAAAAGGAAAATGAAAGAGTTAGATTTATATGATATTAACACTTTGCCGCCTCATCTCGTCGATTGGCGATGTTTACCTCCCTGTTTCTTTGGATTTTCCCCAAAATGTGATGGTAAAGTGTTAAGTGCTGTAAAAAGAACAGGGCCAAGTTGAAAAATTGGAACGATCTTGTAGAATTCTCTTCTGAACTGGTAGTTAGGGTTTTGTTTGTTACCCAAAAAAATTACAATATATTATAATGTCTGTGTAGTCATAAAATGACTAGATATATGTGTGTGGTGTTTTATTTTATGAGTTTGCTTGAAGTTGAAGAACATGGGCACAGACACAAGTGTTTGCATAATGACTGTTCTCAATTGAAACAATAAAAAATTATTTTATTTTGTTTTGATGCAGCTACGGTGATTTGATTTGCTTATTTAGTTTAAAAGTTCGCTCTTGTGTTTGTGCATGAGTTAAAGTGTCTTGAATTGTGACAATGTGGGTGTTTGGTAGGTGCTCTGTTCCCACCCCCGACTGAAGTTGTCTTTAAGCCACTCCCAAAGGGGGGACATGGGTGGTTGGCAGGTGCTCTGGTGTGGTTTGCTCCTTCTTACTTATCAAACATCTATCGTCTTTATCTCCCGTCCATCTTTTTAATGTTTGTTACTCCCTTGTAACACCTTTATTCTTCTGGCACACATATGACCTTGCTGTTGCGAGCGCCGGAAAACCTCTACTAAAATCCAAGAGGGGGGGGGGGGGAGTGATATTAACATGTTCTTATGCAACAAAAAACAAACAATCCCCTTCTTATGCACAGTAGAATTGTAAATGGGCTGATTTATCGATGTCATGCTCATCATACTGTGCCGGAACAACATAGGGGGAACTGCTGCTTTTTCTTTCCTCATCCTTACTAAATGTATCATCATTTTCCTCTACTTCTTTTGTATGTTTGTCACTCTCTTACTGAACTGCTATTTCCGGGGTGCCTTGATAGTCGGAGCAGACTTTATACTGTTGAGGCAAGAGGTGAGCAGAGTAAGCCAGATTCCTCGTTTGGATTTGGACTTACTTCTGTTGACATCCACCCCTTGGCGCTCATATGACCCATACAGTTGCCAGCGCCGTAAAACCTTACTAAAACAAGGATGTTGTATCCTCTCAGTCTTAGCCCTGGTTGGGTTGGCCCCGACAGGCAGGGTTGAAGCCTTCCTCCTAAATTATCTAAAACTGGGCTGATTGGGGCAACAACATACCCATTGGATGGGTGCCGCTCGTTTGCAACAACTTTTTTGGCTATTCAGGGCTGCCAACCCATCTCCATGGTTTTTAGTAATGACCATGAAGAAAATTAGTAATTTCCCGTGAAAATTAGTAATAGTGCTCTCATTTTCAAATTACTACTTGTATTTATTACAACGAACAAAAATATGTCTTAATTACGGAAAAGAAGGCTTTTATCGAAAATTAAATAAATTTATGTGATGGCCAAAGTTTTTCTTTAAACTCACCTTTTAAATCACAAAATGGTTGATGACTGATGTATATGTAATGGATTTAGGGTTGCATTTCAGGCTCTGGAGAGAAAGAGTTCCTGTGTATGCGTGTGTGAGAGAGAGATAGATAGATAGGGGGGTTGATTTAGGGATTGGCAGTTTTCCGAATTATTGGCGGACAATTTACTGGTCTTGTAACATAACTAAAGAGCCAGAATTATTTATTTTTTTGGTAGCCAAAAATTTTCTAACGGTAAAAATTGTAATAAATCGCCTTTCGATCGGAATTTCGTAGTGAGGCTAAAAAATCGTAATGATTACGAAAAAATTGGAATGGTTGGCAGCCCTGTGTCTTTTTTCTTCTGTACGGCTCTGTCGACCAACTGTCTGGTCCAGCAAAATGTCCACCACAGAACCTGAACCCCGACAGTTGAGAACCTGCCTTGAAAATTATACAGTCCATGCCGGCTTTAAGCACGGTCGACGGGAGAAAGCTTAAGCGTGCTTAAAGCCGAGGCGTGCTTGAGTGCGAAGTAGACATATTCCAGAGTTTTTCATGAAGAAAATTTCCCGTGCTATTTTCCTTTGTTTGTAAATAGGCCTATAGCGATCCCGCAAAAGTGTGCACTGTTATTTAGACACCCGCCATGGTAGTTTTTGTTCGCTTGTTTGTTTTTGTTTTGTGGTCGAATGGGAAATGAAAACTTAATTTAGACGGCCAGTCACGATACAGCACACTAGGCCTACACACTGCCTGTGCGTACCACTGCCCGCTGTGCCACTCATACCACCGCCTTCATCCCACCTCCCTTTCTCGTCTTCCCGACTCTCTTTGTATTTTTTTTGGTCGTGTGTAGCTTTGCCCAAGGCCTAGGCTAGATCCCATGTCCGCGCGCGCGGCTGTGTGCATCTGCCTTCCTCTCCGCCCGTGTGAGTGTGTGTGTCCATCACTAATTGCGTTCTTTGTGTTTCTCTTGACACACTCCACTGCTGCGGTGTAGACTGTGTTCGAACTTCGATGGGTCATCATGAAAATATTGACTGTCTTGTAAATGAAGCGTGCTTGAAGCCGAAGTTACCGTGCTTAAAGGCGTGTAATTTATATAGCAAAAATTCTGTAAAAGCCGTTTAGCGTGCTTGAGTCCGAAACGTGCTTTAAGCCGGCGTGCTTAAAGCCGACACGGGCTGTAATATAAATAATCTGTTATGTGTCTAAATCTAGTTTTTAGGACTAGAACATTCAAGCCCTATCCTGGGGTAATTTTGTAACACCCCCCCCCCCCAGGTTGTATTTTTCACGTCGTAGAATACTTCTAGTGCGAAGATCTCTTTGAAACTTTCAGTATTTTAAAAAAATCATTTTGGCAGACTGCTATGCAAAGTACAGATCGGATTAATGAGTAAATTTCCTCTTTTGAAAGAGGTGGCACGGAGTTTCCCATGTCGTATGGATACAATAGTAAAACACGACATACGGATAGGCCCTAGGGTTAAGAAAAAAAAGTCGGTGAAAAAACACAACTCTAAGTCTTTTTGAGAAGAATAATATTTTATCTTTTCAAAAGAAACGTAGGATACAAATGAATCTGTTATGCGTGTGTGTGCCTGGGGGAAGGTCCCATATATCGGAAATTGTAGATTGAATTAGGGCATATTCTACTGTCCCCGTGGTTTTATGCGCCCCGCATAATTTCGCAAAATTTGATCATTTTTTGCATAATTTCTTATTATTTTCCTCTATCATTCTTTGATAAAAATTAACGCCACCGGAACAATCAGTATGGATACCTTGCGGGCTTTGGTGCTGGGGGGAACTGAGCACTTATGGACCTGTCGGTGTGCAATGACGTTGTTGTCCAGGACAGGTAATACAGGTAATACAAGTGTTAAAATTAACAAAATCGCATAATTTCACATTTTTAGAATCATTTTGCTTAATTTCAGAATTTTTCTTGTATAAAACAACGGGGACAGATTCTAGTGAACTACTAGTAGCAATTCCAATGCTGTACATGCCGATTCAAAAATTTTCAAATATCGAGTACGGGTACTTTTAAAGATGGGTGACCATATTATGGTCTATATAAGCTAAACCCCCCTCCCTAACCTTATTTAGGCCACATATGGCCTAAATAAGCTAAACCTCCCTCCCTTACATTATTTAAGCCACATATGGCCTATATAAGCTAGACCCCACCTGACCTTATTTAGGCCACATATATTTTATATAGAGAGAAAGAAGCCCTCTTCACATTCATCTTCCATCACAGCAGGACATTTAATAAATCTAGAATCAATTTAAGGTCCTGTTCTGTATCTAAAAATCTGCAGTTAAAAACCCGTGCGGTTTTTACATGTCTGAATTGCCCGTACTGAATTTTTTTTTTAATTGTATTTTCTTCGAAAGTGGATAGGTGGACCTAGGGGTGTAGCCTAACATCGTCTAGTGATAGGGTAAGGCAAGGTTTTAAAAAGAAGGGGGGAAAAAAACTCATGGTGGGCAGACTTGTTTCGAGATTATTCCAGTGAAACGTCTACCTAAAAATCGTCATTCTTAATTCCCCCCCCCCCCCCCCCCTTGTTTGAAAAGAAAGGTGGTTTGTTTAATTTTTCTTTCTTTTTTTGTTTGTTTGTTGGTAAATCATCCCGGCAAACATGATGTAGTTAACCCAATCTAGAGTAACACTACCACCTGGCAACACTGAATGTCTTTTTATTTTGAGGATTTGAGATTTATATAAACAAACAGATTCGAATGGCATGGTTATGCTGATAGGCTAGTCCTACTACATTAGATCATGTATACAGCAGTTCGTTGTTGTTGTTTTTTTTAGTAGATTTCTAGAACTAACGATGGATTTGCAAGATCGAGATTCCAAAGTGTGCCAAAATGGTAGCCTAGCTTTTGCCCCTCCATGAAGGACAAATCTGGCCCTCATTGAAACCATTGGGATTGAGCAAAATTAATGATTATGATTTATAAGTAGTACACTGAGACAAAACTGTACTAAATGAGAAAGGTGCACCATTATGAAAGTGGAACGAACTCAGTTGCGTGAAGAAGGTAGTTTGAGCATACATGTGGCCTAAATAATTTTCCGGGGAGGGGGAAACCTTATTTAGGCCACAGGTGGCCTAAATAATGTTAGGTGTGGGGGGGGGGGTTGACCTTATTTAGGCCATATGTGGCCTAAATAAGCACTCGCTACATTTTTAGCTGCCAAAAAATCTACAGGATACATCTTGAAATTGCCTAGACATCTAGCTTCATTGCCTTTTTGTAGGCAAAAATCAAAAACTGTTTGACAAATTTTTACTAAGTTCGATACTGTCTCGATACTGAAAGTGTTATTTTTCATCAACCAACCAGACATTTTCTCGGAAATCCCAGAGATCACCCTGGCAAATGGCAAGACCCAGACAAGACCGGGGGCTCTCGTGGCCTAGAGGTTAAGGTGTTGGCCTCTCATTCAAAGGTCCCGGGTTCGAATCCGGGTAGCGACCGAAAAATTTTCTTCTTTAAAAATGTCTCCTTTCACCTCCTTTCCTGCTCTCCAGCAATATTCTGTCGTCTGCTTTCGTCTCCTCTTTCTGCCCCCACCCCCTCACCTCCTTTGCTCCCTCCTCTGGGCTCCTGACTCTTTCTGCAGCCTTTCTACTGCTACTCCTTGACCAGGGGCGGCTCGTGGGTCTAAAAAGTGGGCGTGCACAATTAAGCTATCTTAGGCTGAAGATAATCAAGGGCAGAGTAAATGGGATGGTGTATAATTTTAGGATCTTTGGGTTGATGGAGGAAGACCTTTGTGTTACTATTTTCATTCTTTTTACTAGTGGCTTTGACTTCCAGAACTAAATCTGTTTGTTAGCTAAACGTCAATTTTATTCATCCTGCATTAGAACTGAACACTCAAGTAATACTTTTCACCACTCCACTACAAAACCGTTCAAAAGCACAACTCATAGGACGGTGACTTAAGTATGTCACGTTCACCTCCCTCAGGTTCACGGTCACAGATTCACTTAAAATAGCGACAAGACAATGAACCAATCACAATTCACTTGAGCACTCCGCTGGATTGCTCCGGGGGCCACATAATTTTGGCATGGAATAGTGCACAGTCTATGGCGTATTTTTAGACTGCCTACTGTGGGCTATGTTTCGGCGCTATTCGGCTGGAACACATTTGAGATGTGCCGTCTTATTAATATTAATGTACTGCCAAACTCTCTACAAGTGTCGTCGTCGCTTGGGTTATCCCAAAGAGCGATTTATAGGTCAGGTTTCCACTGTTGACTATCCTGTTATGTTTAGAAATTAGATACAGCGCATGAACTTAGGCTTGGCATAGTAGATGTTTTACGGCGCTATAGAATAGAAATGACAGTTACGGCGCCAGCGAGGGCCTTGTTTTGATAGAATATTTGGCTAGTGTTTGTTTCTGGCGTCTTTTATTTTATTATTGTGGGTGCTTTACGTCATAGAACATTAAAACATTTTGGGCGGCACTGCACGACCGTGCTCTACGGACGAACCGCGCCTGTGACCTTGACTCCTTCTTACAGCTCTCTTTCTGCCACACCCCTGATCTTCTGGTAGGAAAGATCTACACCTAGCCTTCTCGGACAAGGGCGAAAAATCCCGGAGGGCCCGTGTGCAAATTGCGCACGTTAAAGATCCCTTGGTGGTCTAAAATCGATAAGAGTAGGCTTCGGCCGCCACCGGGGCAAACTTCAATATTTTCTACCAACTAAAAGTATTAGGTGTGTTCCGCGCGCTCATATGACCTTAATATGCAGTTGCGGGCGCCGGTAAACACTTACCAAAAAAAAAAAAAAAAAGACAAGGCCGATAACCTGGGAGAAACCCACAGAATTCTGTAGAATTCTGTGGAGAAACCACAGTTATTTCCCATTATATTGCAATCGTTGACTCTCCTCATCAAAAGATCAGCCAGGATCTCAACGCGGGAACTCACTTTTTGCCAGGTTTACAAATGAAGCCATTTAAAGTAGGAAGAAATCCATGTAATGCCTTACTCTAGCGGTGTGAAAACGTTTATACAAGGAGCAGAAATATGTATCAATTCAATAACAATACAATTTTAGAGCATGAACAGATCAATCTTATAAAGATTTATCAACTTCAAACGCCAAACAGTGAATAAACTAGATCTAGATATCTAGGCTAGATCTACATCTTACACTTTGTAACTCAGTAAATCTGGTATATTTTGGCGCATACAATTTGCTTTGGTATTGTTATTGTTTTCGTCTGCCTCAGCCTGCTGCCTTTGCGTTTACTGTCCCTATCACAAATATCACCTGGACCCGTCACTAATTGCAACAGAATTTCTGTTCGCGGTAAACTGTATATTGTGGTGCTAAGATACACTGTACAAAATTATACCAAAATCGGGTGGGCCACCTCTATTGAAGTCTGTTCTCACCTTGGGTGAAAATAGCGCAGGAGGGCCTTTTGAGGCTTTTGGCTATTCTCACCCGGTTTGCGTTCGCCGTGATAGGCCAACCAGTGTAGCATTCACCGTGAACAAACGTTTCAGCGCTCTTGTGTTGAAAGCATGCAGTTTGGTCTGTGGACAGTGAGAGAGAGAGGGTGGGGGTAAGATTGTACTTTCGAAGTGGCTAGGCAGCTAGCCGTTCTTAAGTACGGCTAGACTGCCAGTCTAGCTGAACTTAGATCTAGGTTTGGCCCTATCGACTCAATCCTGTTAAGTACACAGGTCTCATTAGATCTAGATCTAGTAATTATTCAGGTTCAAATACATGCAAGTCAGTAAGGCACCTTTTGGTTTTGTCTGAAATACAAATACTTTTACTTTAGGCATTGCAAACTAAAAATTTCATTAAATACAATTCAGCCATCAATATTAAGTACGGCTAGCCTGACAGTCTAGCC